TAGCTGATGTCTTGCTTAATAAGATTCACTAGTGCTTGCCCTTAATTTGTAGGACAGTATTATTTGGGTTACATTAACCTGAAATTAAAGCATATTGTTAGGAGTCAGGCCTGGGTTGCGAGTATATAATTAAAATCTATACTATGTTTCTGCTGCCGTGAAAGTCTCGCTTATCTTTGGTTATTTTTCAAGCAGGAAAGTAAGGGTATCGTGAGCCTTGTATTTGAGATGCTGAGAGCTGTTCGGATGAGTATTTTAATTTTCTTATCAGCAGTGACACTTTGATGTTGCGGTTTCTAGAACTGTCTCTGTCAGACAGGGGGTTCTGTTCCACCCGTCTTCGCAGGAGTTCTGCACACTGTTCCCTTCCTACTCCATCACAGGAGTCTCCTTCAGACACTGGCTTCCCAGCTGGTGGAACTGGGTGTGAGCAGTGTGGCTGGCTTCTCAGAGAGCTGAGTGCTTGAGCGAACAGAGGATTGCCATAGAAAATGCTGCCGGGCTAGCTAGCTCGCTTGCTCTCTCTCTCTCTGTCTCTGTTTCTCTGTCTGTCTCCTCCCCTGTCACTCCCTCTTTTCATCAAGATGAAGACTATTGGGTAAGAAAAATTCTAAGCGACTTAACGAAATACTATGATTTCAAGCTTAGAAGTAAACCTAGAATTTTCTTGGTGTCCCTTTTTATCATAGGTGTTTAATGTATGTTTTAATGGCTGTAGAACTTGAATTGCTCTAGAATGTGAATGACTAGCCTTGTGTTTTCCTCATTTTTGACTTTTGTAAGGGATCTCCCATGAGGAGTTCTCCTTTTAGAGTTTGATACTGTGTAGTTACTTCCCTGACTTCAGTGAAAGATAATCCAGTACGTGGTATGCCAGTGTCTAACTTCAACTACACGTATTAAAGAAGTAGATCTTTCACATTCAGTGCAGGCGGCATAACCAAAGGAGGTGGTTATTTGGCTGTGCTGAGAGGTAGCTTTCTGCTGTATATTACGGCAGTTCCAGATTTGGTCGTCACTGAATCGGAACTTGGGTCCTAGAAGTGCACTTGTAGCTATTTTTTATTTACTGTAGGAAACACAGTGAGAACCTTATTCTTAGAATGTAGCAGCAACAATGGAAGGGGACTGCTTTGTAAGATGCGCACGGTTGAGCACGTGACACTGCCCTTGTGTTGGGGAGCAGGGTATAGAGATACACATACAGGAGATGTAGAATAGTTAACGGTAAAGTTTTATATGTATGTTTTAACTCCCATGATATTTATTATTTTGTAGAGACGTTTGTGATTGTTTAGAGTTATTGTTTTTATTATATTTATGTATAAGGTTGACTTTTTTTTAAATAAATAAGCCAAAAATTATTTTTGAACGCCTCTGTCATCTTTTGCAAAAGAAAGACAATTAAAAAAAAATAAACTTAAAGAATTAAGAACAAATTGTTTAGGCCTTACAGGTTTTGAAGGTGGCAGTGAGACATTTCAAAGCTGGAATACTATATACAAAGTTAGAGTTTCCTTTAGGCTCCTCTTTGGTTTAATAACTTAGGAGAGGGAAATAGAAGATGCATTTGGCTGGGTTGGGATAAAACAGAAATACAGCAATTTGGTAACTTCCCCCCGGTTCCCGTAGACACATGGTCCTAGCCCATCCATCTTGGCCTCCGCTCGCTCTCCTTTTCTGCCACAGTTACTTACGCATTCATGTAGCATGAGTGAACATCATCTTATTATGGTCAAAACTGGGATGTTTGAATGTTCTCCCTCCCCCGGTAATTGTAGGTGCTGTGAATCTTTTCTTCTTTGTCCTTTTCCATGTGTCGCTAAGTGTGTTTTAAAACCCAAATATACCTTCGTTGGATGGAGCAAATTTTTAATCTGAAAAAAAGAATGGTACTCAAAATATGAGGGTGTCTGTAATTTTTTAAGTTATTACTTTTTTTGCTTGCTTGAAAACTTTTCTCTTTTGTTTTGTATCTCATACGAATGCTTTCCCCTAAGTATAAACTCTTTTATTATTAGATATGCAAAGGGAATAATCACAGCTATTTCCCCGAAACATTTGTGCACGTGACAACGTATGGATGAGACATCTTCCAATTAAAAATATTAAAACATTGATTTTATAACTTAGGTTTTATAGATCTATTTTTACAACTTGGGAAATAATCAGTTTTTAAACAAAATCAGTATATAAGCTGCTTAAGACTGAGTCTTCTGTTTTATAAGAAGCCTTACTTACGTGTAAAGGTCATTTGGTACCTGAATTTCTTCTTCCAATTAATAGTGCAGTTTGACATTGCATTTAGTTTTTTCCCCTTCCAGCTCATTATGCAGATCTTACTGTGCATGTAGGGAATGTAGAATGCTACACTTAATCCGGACGTAGATCATGCTGTTGACAAAATTTTAAAACGAAACCTAAGGCTTTAGTCAGTAGGCCGTTGTATTTTGAAAACCGACTCTCTCAAGTTAGGTCTTTCTAAAAGATTGTTAACAAGTTACTAAAAGTAAAGATAAGGCAGTGACAATTCCTTATGAACCCATAGTGAGTACTTCTGGCATGAATTTATAGCCCTCTTCTACCCTTCCAGCCAAAGGTCATTCCAAATGCTCTATGTGGAATTTGTCTGAAGGGTAAGGAGTCCAACAAGAAAGGGAAGGCTGAATCACTTATACACTGCTCCCAGTGTGATAATAGTGGTAAGTATTGACATGTCTTCTTAACATTTTAACCATCCTATTTGTTGCTTCAGAAACCAGGATTTTTAGTTGTCAGACCTGAATCAAATCTCCAAGTATAGAGGGTAACTTGTAACGCATAGAAAAGAAGCCCATGGGTTTTCATCTCTTTGGTGATTGGACACTGTAGCCATTCTTGAGAAATCCCGATGCAAACTAGCATTTTATTGTGCCATGTTAAGTTCAAAACTCTTTTGTGAAATACTAATACTGGTTTTGGTTTAGGCCACCCTTCTTGCCTGGATATGACCATGGAGCTTGTTTCTATGATTAAGACCTACCCTTGGCAGTGTATGGAGTGTAAAACTTGCATTGTATGTGGACAACCCCACCATGAAGAAGAAATGATGTTCTGTGATGTGTGTGACAGAGGTTATCATACTTTTTGTGTGGGCCTTGGTGCTATTCCATCAGGTAAAGATTACAAAAAGGAGTGAAGGGACTGTCCCGTCATTTTTTTAAAGGCTGCATAAACACCGTAAAGATCCTTGTATTGCCAAGAAGTTACCAAAGCCGTGATTCTCCACATAGTGTCCACGTGCCTTTCATCCCTAGGTACCCCGGCTAAAGGACAAATGGGTGTCAGGGGGCCTTGTCCAAGTTTTGGAATAGGGCTCAATGTATAGAATGAACTCAAGTCTTTCTAGTGAGAGCTAAAGCAAGAGCATCCGTTTGTTTCAAAACCTTGATTTTATTTTTATGTCCTCTATTCAGAAACTTAACAAAAATGACTGCTATGCCTTTATAAATAGTAAACCAGATTTCTAGAAAATGAGGCAGCATGACAATTCCAGATAACTTTGGAACAGAGCTGAAGAATAAATCACAGTAATTGGACTAAAATGTTACATACGATTGTGTAAATTTAGAACTGACTTGCATAGTTAACACTGTATAATACTTTATGAAACACACGCCTAGAACGGTTTCCTGGGAGTCGTTAAGAAGCGGGTGACTTAAAGTTCGGTAGTAAATCAGATGGAGTAAGTGCCTAGGTGGGGTTCACCGCTGTGCGGTCAGATGCTTGAGAAGTTTAAAGTGCTGTGTCTGGTGCACCAGGACTTGAGAGGATGTTTGCACATGCAGCTGCCACTGAGCAGCAGAGAAAAAGGCTGAAGATAAGCCCAAGTCAGTAACGGGGTTTATACAGGATATGTACTTTTGAACTTCTAAAGGATGACAGTGTTTGGGTTTCAGAAAGGATTGTGGTAGTTTTTTAAAGGTCCAGATCATTGTATGGTATTGATCTCCGCCCCTGCCCCACCCCAACTTGCACTGAATTTTACATGGCATTGATTACACTGGTTGTCCTAAGGGAAGTTTCCATTTTTCTCCTTAAATTAAGTAACTTACAGGTGCCTCTCACGTCACACATCCACAAAAAAATATCACTAGTGATAGCTAAGGAAGGAGAGCCAAATAGGTTTACAATTCAGTCCTAAAAAATTAAATTTCATACTAAACTAACAATTTTTCTCCTAGGTCGCTGGATTTGTGACTGTTGTCAGCGAGCCCCCCCAACACCCAGGAAAGTGGGCAGAAGGGGGAAAAACAGCAAAGAGGGATAAAATAGTTTTTGACCCCAATATTGTAATACGGATTTAAATGAACTACTTGGTGCCAATTTATTTACATTCTTGATTTTATGCCAATAAAAGATTTCTGAAATTCATGATGTGCTTAAAATGTTAAGTTGACTTATTTGTTATAAGCTACTATTCCTCTTAAAACCAATTTCAGGTAGAGAAATAGTTCATTTTTCTTTCTTTCTTTTTTTTTTTTTTTAAGTCTCTTAGGGCTTTGGCTCTCTCCAGAAATTCAGTGGAAATATATGCAACTTAATTGAAGTACTTAACTTTATTTGTCTTTGGCCTGAAACTTTATTTGCATGAAGTTTTCCTAATCTGTATTGTTTCTGGCCAGTGATGGGTAGCATAACAAAATTACTTAATAATGGACGAATTTTAATTGCTAAGATAGCTGCAGGTGATCAATGCAAATGACCTTAACCGGCAGGGGGCAGGGGGGCAGGGGCACACCTGGGATCCACCTGGGGCGCAGGCGTGGAGCTTTAGGCCACACCCCGGCGAAGAGATAGGAAGCGGTACATTTCGGACCTGTTCAAGGTTTGCACCTCACCTAGAACCGCTAACTGGAGTGAAGGTGCAGCTGCCAACCTGTCCATCTGAGCCGCGCGGCGGCAGGAAAGGTGCTGCATTTTGCCTAAACCTCCTAGTCCCCTGACAAACCGATCAAACCGGAGTTTAAACATTTTATTGTGCGTATTCCTCTTACAGGAACTTTGAGGACTGAAAAAGCAACATCGTTCTTGCCGCTTTCCCTACTTTCGGGGTAAATGAGGTAACGAAATCCTATGGCTTTGTTTGGAACGTGACCTCCCGGCGGATAAACGGAGCCGGGTTCGGAGGCCCGCAGTCCCCGGCACGTCTTATCAGGGTGTCTTCCGAGCACGTCCGAGGGATCAGAAGAGAATCTCAAGTACCAGTTTCAAAACACTAATTAAAACGGTCCAGAGCACGGACTCCTCCTCCGGGGGCGCGTCCTCGGGCGCGGACGCTGGCCGCTGGCTTGGGCCCGTCCCGTCGGCGTAGGCCGCCTCCCCGAACGGGGACTGCTCCACCGCCCGGTCGTAATACACTTTCATCTCGAACTCGCTCTCGTGGTGGGACGGGTGACCGTACACCCCGATGCCCACGGGCCGCCGGAAGTGCGCGGGGATGGACACCGCGTCCGGGCCGCACGTCACCGACTGCAGGTCGTAGTCGTCGAAGCTCGGGTGCAGCGTGCTGTCAGACACGTATAGGTCCGCGTCCCCCCTCACGCTCCGCATCTGGAGGACGATCTTCCCCTCGTGGTTCAACCTCAGGTAGCTGTAGTTCCCCGCGCCTATGTGCCCCTGCACCACGTGCAGGAGGAGCCACTCCTCGGGAACCTCCTCCTCGTCCGGGGGGCTCCCCGACCACGCGAGCTGCGAGGCCAGCAGGAGCAGCAGAGCGCGCCGCCAGGCGGCTGCCATGCCCGACGCCGGGGTCACCGTTAGGTCCGTCCCGCAGGACCAGGATGACCTGAAGCGCGCCCGCGTTGCCTGGCGCCATACCGCCGCCAGCCCGGGGAGGGGGAAGAAGGGGAGGGCCATGTGGAGGGGAAGAGGAAGGAGGAGGGAGGCGGGCGTGAGAGGAGAGGAGGCATAAGGAGGCGCGCGAGGGTGGAGGAGGAGGGATGGCGCGGGGCGATCGGGAGACGATTCCGCCAGGGCGGAAGGGCCTGCGGGCGGCGGGTGGCGGGGTTGGCCTCGGGCCCTGACTCCACTGCCGGTTCTCGCCGGGTGCTGCGTCCGAAGCAGACTGGCTCCAGCGCCGGGCTGGCCGCGCTGAGCAGCTGGAAGGGGCGGCACCTGGAAGTGAGGCGTCGGAAGCGAAGGTCCTGCCTGCGGGAATGATCCGTGGCCTCCTGAGCCGTGGCGGCTGGTAAATCAGGGCGACGGCGGCGAAGGGGCCGCCGGCCCTTCCAGCGCCTCTAGGGTGCCTGCCAGCTGAGCATCTACTATGGGGCCGTGGGTCCGAGCTGCCCCTAGAGAGCCCGGGTGCGCCCGAAGAGAGACCCCTTGTCGGGGCACCTGTTACCTGTCCTGTGCCTGCCAAGTGACTGAGCTGGCCCACACAAGTGGGCTGTGCGCGGGGTCCGGGCTGGGCCCCCAGGTGAGAGACCTTGCGCAGCGCTTGCTATCTGTTCTCCGTCTCGTAAGAACATGGCACTTTTTTCAAATTCTCCCAAAAGAGACTCTAAATGTAGCTGCGTTTATTTTCAGGATACTTGTTAATGGGAACCTGAGATTAAGGGCAACCCATTGGTCATTTCGCCCAGGTCATGTCCTGTTCATGGGTTCGAGGCCCGTGTCGGCTCTGTGCTGACAGCCTGGAGCCTGAGCCTGTCTCCCTCCTGTGTCCTCCCTCCCACGCCTCCCCACCTATGCCTCCTGGTCTGTCTCTGTCTCTCAAAAAATAAACATTACAAAAAATTTAAATAACAAAAGGAAAGGAGTTTTATCATTTTAAAAAATTTATTCACTTAGAGAGAAAGCCTACAGCACGATGCAGAAGTGGGAGAGGGAAGGGGGGGTGTGTGTGGAGAGAATCCTCAAAGCAGGCTCCACGCTGTCAGAGCCTGATGCGGGCTGGCAATCAAGAACCCTGAGATCATGACCTGAGTTGAGGTCAAGAGTCTGATGCTTAACCAAGGAGCGCACCTGGCTTCTGGGAAATGAAAAACCAGTGTGGTAGCCGGATAGTCAGGAGTCAGCTTATTTGTGCCTACTCCCACAAGGAGGCACAAAAGTGCTGACTATGCTTGAGAATTGACAGCTATGAACTCAGCTTCTCCAGTCCGGCTACCAAGAAAGATAAGGCCTTTTTTTCTTTTTTTTTTTGATTTTCTTAATGTTTATTTTTGAGAGAGAGAGGAGACAGAGAGAGAGAACATGAGCAGGGGAGGGGCAGAGAGAGAAGGAGACACACAGAATCCGAAGCAGACTCCGTGCTCCCGAGCTGTCAGCCCAGAGCCCGACGTGGGGCTCGAACTCACCAGTCGCGAGATCATGACCTGAGCTGAAGTCGGCCACTCAACCGACTGAGCCACTAGACGCCCCCATTTTTGTTTTTAATTAAAGCAGCTGTATAGAAAGAGTACTATTATCTTTAAATCGTATTTTAGGGGCTCGTGGCTGGCCCGGTTGAGCGGCTGACTCTTGGTTTGGGCTTGGGCGGTGATCTCCTGGTTTGTGAGTGTGAGCCCTGAGCTGGGCTCTGCATTGGCGCCCAGAGTCTGCTTGTGATTCTCTCTCTCCCCGCCCCCCTCTGCCCCTCCCCCCACTCGCACCCACTCTCTCTGGATAAATAAACTTAAAAACATTTAGGGAAGGACTGATGGACGCAGAAAAGAGTGTGCATGATCTGGCGCCCTTCCCACACCTTTGTCATCAGCCGCTGCTCCGTATTTCAGTAGTTGTAGCCTCAGGCTAGCTGGAGGTCGAACCCCCCTCCTGTTCTGGCTCGGTTGCAGAGTCATCAAGGATACTTTGTCATTTTCTCCGACCAGCTTACCATGAGTCTTTCTGAGGTGGCGAGCACTTTAACGGCCTTTAAGTGCTTGACCTGTGCCCACCGATGTCCCCAGCTTTTTTGGCTTTCAAGACTCCCATTAGCTATTAGCCTTTACTTACTACGAAATGTTATTCACCTGAGGTCTGGTGCTGGACCCAGGCCAGCTTAAACTGGGCCCAGGTTTTTAGGTTGGACCCAGTCTGGTACCACCAGCAGTTCCCAGTGTGGGATCCAGGCAGAGTCAGGAGAGAATTTGGGGAGGGATTCCGACCAAGTGGGGAACCGTGGAAATGGAATTAGGTGAGGAGCTCAGCACGGAGAGAGCAGAGCTCAGAACCCGCAGGAGCGCACCCACGGCCCTCGGGAGCCGGGACAGGCACTCACTGTGGCCGCAGGGTACCACGCCTGTGCGTGTCCTCGTCCCGCCGCTGTCAGAGAGCGCTCCAGACCCAACACGGCTGCCACGTCCGGCACCTAACAGACTCGGCTGAGTAGATTGAAAGACCAGACTGGCTGTTTCATGGTGCTTGAGTCGGGCAGCATCCCATCTTGCAATGGAGAGGAGCTCTGCTGAGCTGGGGGGAAGGGAGGGTGGAAAAGGAAATTATTAGAGAATGCGTTGTTTCCGGCAAGGTCGCCTTCCTCAGGGGAGTGGACGGGGTCTGTGGGGCACATCAAATCTGGTCACTAGAGCTGACCAGGTAATTCTGAGCTGAGTGGTAAGCAGTTACGTTCCTGGGGACGGAGACTGCAGTTAGATTAGGTGTTAAGTCTTGGTCTGCTGATAGGGTTTAGCACACTGACTACATTTAGGTCCTGCTGTCTCCTTTTTAACAATTCAAATATTTATTGAATACCTAACACGTACGAGGTGCTAGGACACGTTTTTTCCCTTTCCCAGAGCTAGACGTTAATCGGTTATATACTCTTACGTGTGTGTGTATATATATATATACACTTGACCTTTGAACAGCGTGGGGGTTAGGGATGCCCACCCCCCATGCAGTTGAAAATCTGTGTATAACTTTTGACTCCCTGAAAACTTTACTAATAGCCTGCTGTTGAGTAGAAGCCTTACCCACAACATAAACAGTTGACACACATTTTGTATGTAGTCTGAACTACGTACCATATTCTTACAACGAAGTCATTAGAGAAAAGAAAATGTTATTAAGGAAATGATAAGGAAAATACGTTTACAGTGCTGTACTGTGTTTGCTGAAAAAAAAATCTGTGTATAAGTGGACCCGTGCAGTTCACACCCGTGTTGTTGAGGGAGGAGCAAATCCGAGGAACGAACGGAGTCACGAGGGGACGATGAACGGCGCTGGGGCGGGCCCAGGAGTTTGCTCTCCCTCTTCAGAAAGAGGGGCAGCTGTGGGCAGCGGCTGAGCTGCCGTTGTCATCATACCCCTGGTTTGGTCATCCCTTGATTGTGGCCCAGAGGGAGCTCCTTAGGGAACTAAATTCCCCTCAGGCTGCCTAGGGACGCGGCATGGGAACAGGTAAGGATGCCTGGCCTGGGAACAGGTGAGTCTCAAGGAGAGGGCGCTGGCTTCCTGTAACCCAGCAGCTGGCACCCTACGGGTAATCGAGCCCAAACAGGGAAGGCGGTGCCCCACATGCAATGCATGTTTATTGCAGGAAATTGCAGGAAAATGCCAGGCTGCCCACGTGGCAGCAGTGCAGGTAGAGACCTCCGTCCGGGCTGGGAATTGGTGCTGAGTGAGAGCAGGCGGTCACCCCGCCGGTGTGGGCCGCGTGCTGTCAGCATCACAGAGCCCTGTGGCCCTGTCGTCATCGCTACCTGCCTGTTTCCCACAGGCGGCCACTCTCCTCCCTAACGTGTGCGTTGAGCTCTTCCAGCCGACGAGCTAAGACCGACCAGTCGCTCTCGCGTCGCGGGACGCTGTGCGGTCACCTAGGGTGCGCATGGGTGCCATCGGGGTGGAGCGGACCGCTGCCGCGAGCGCGCCCCCTTGATCAGGCGCTCTGTGGCGCGGAGGCCCGAGTGCCACCCCGAGGACTCTGCTCTGTGGCCCCTGTTTCTCAGTGCGCGCGCCCAGCAGAGAGAGAGCCGGCCCGGGTCCGTTTTTCTGCGTGGTTCTTCAGCCGACACTCCTCCTCCTGAGGGTTTGGAAGTTTGTCAATACCGTGTCCCTCTCGTAGTCTTTTTGATTTTAGCCATTCTGACGGGTGTACGGTTTTCATTTTTTATTTCGACTGGCATTTCTCTGGCGATTAGCGAGGATGAGCATCTTTTCCGGTTAATTGGCCATTTGGAGATCTTTCATCCAGTGGCTGTTGCACGTTTTTCTACTGGCTTGTCTGGCTGAGGATCTGCACAAGTCCTTTGTAGGTTCTGGATACGCTTAGCTTGAAGAGTTGCTCATCGTTCGTTCCTACTTCGCGGCTTGTCTTTTCGCTCACTGGTGTCTTCTGAAGAATGTAAGTTTTGTGTTTGTGGATTTTATTATTATATTTATTATTGTGGATATATCGTATAGGAGTTCATCCTTCTTGAACATCTGAATGTTAATAGGGACTTAAATGCACGTGCTTTTTTTTTTCTCAGTATCTATTCCTCTTCTGACAGGGGCACTTGAGCCCGCTTCGGTGGCCGCTCTTCCCTGTCCTGGCCGCAGGGGTCACGGTCCGTGCCCCCTCAGGCCGACCGGTCAGCATAGTTTCATCCCTCTGATCACATGATAAAGTCAAGGCCAAGAAGTGGCCCAGACTGGCCCAGACTCACACAGCGTGTACGGGGTTGGATGGGAGAGATGGCCGCTCTTCCCAGTGCACCAGAGCGTGGGAGGGCGGCCGTGGGGGCCGCTGGCCACCGTGTTGCCGGCAAGTGGCAGCAGAAGGTGGAAACTGGAGCCCACACACACACACACACACACACACACACGCACAGCTGCAGGCTGAGAGGCCAGGCCGGGCTGGCTCGGGCTGTTGCGTGGAGTCCTGCACAGACCTTCCAGTTAAAGGTCTGTCCCTCCAGAGAGTTCTCTTTCTTCCGGTTGGATTAGGCTGAGCTTTCTGCGGTTTACGCTGAAAAGGCTCTCGCCGATGTGCAGAGTGAACTGTCTTAATGTCATCTTTTTAAATGTCAACACTGTGTTCCGCTGAATGTAAGGACTGTCATTGCATTTTATATTATAATCAATGCTACTTTGGGAAATGTACGATGATTTACTTGTTCTAAATTTATGGAATGGAAATTTTTGAATCAAAGAATATGTACCTTTTAAAACATTTTGATACACGTTGCCGAATGGCCAAAGCTTATGTCCATTTATTGTCTTACCAGCAGTGAATGAGAAAAAGTCTGCATTGATGATATTTTATATTGGGCACTGGCATGAATCCTTTTGTGAACTTATTGTTCCTGTTTAGTTTTTTGAATTACAAAAGTACTTTTATTTATTTATTTTTCCATCGTGATACATGTACTCTTTAATCTCCATCCCCTGTCTCCCCCATCCCACCATCCACCTGCCCTCTGGTAACCACCCATTCGTTCTCTATAGTTAATAGTCTGTTTCTTGCTTTGTCTCTCTTTCTCTCTTTTTTTCCTCTGCTTGTTTGTTTTGTTTCTTAAATTTCACACACAAGTGAAATCATATGGTATTTGTCTTTCTCTGACTTATTTTGCTTAGCATAATACACTCTGGTTCCATCTACATCATTGCAAATGGCAAGATTTTATTCTTTTATGGCGGAGTAATACTCCATTGTGTATATATACACCACATCTTTATCAGTTTATCAATTGATGGAGACTTGGGCTCCTTCCATAATTTGGCTATCCCTTTGAATTAGTGTTTTTATATTCTTTGGGTAAATACCTAGTACCCAGTTTGCATTCCCACCAACAGCGCAAGAGGGTTCCTCTTTCTCTGCATCCTCATCAACACCTGTTGTTTATTGTGCTGTTGAGTTTAGCTATTTTGACAGGTGTGAGGTGGTATCTCATTGTGGTTTTGACTTGTGTTTCCCTGGTAATGAGTGATGTTGAGCATCTTTTCATGAGACTGTTAGCCATCTGGATGCCTTCTTTGGAGAGATACCTCTTCATGTCTTCTGCCCATTTTTTAAAGTGAATTGTTTGTTGTTTTGGGTATTGAGTTTGTCAATTCTTTATATGTTTTGGATAGATGCTAACCCTTTATCAGATATGCCGTTTGCAAATATCTTCTCCTATTCCATAGGCTGTCTTGCAGTTTTGTGATTGTTTTCTTCACTGGGCAGAAGCCTTTTATTTTGATATAGTCCCAGTAGCCTATCGTTGCTTTATTCCCCTTGCCTCCAGAGATGTGTCTAGAAAGAAGTTGCTACAGTTGATGTCAAGGAGGTTATTGCCTGTGTTCTCTAGAATTTTTATGGTTTCAGGTCTCATATTTAGGTATTTAATCCACTTTCAGTATAGTGTAAGAAGGTGGTCCAGTTTCATTATTTTTCACATGGCTGTCCAGTTTTCCCGATACCATTTGTTAAAGAGGTTGTCCTTTTTCCATTGGATAGTCTTTCCTGCTCTATCAAAGATGAGTTGACCATACAGTTTTGGGTCCATTTCTGGGTTTTCTATTCTGTTCTATTGATCTATGTATCTGTTTTTGTGCCAGTACCATACTGTCCTGATTACTATGGCTTTGTGATGTAACGTGGAAGTCCAGAATGGTGATGCCTCCAGTTTTGGTTTTCTTTTTCAAGATTGTTTTGGCTATTTGGAGTCTTTTGTGTTTACATACAAATTTTAGGGTTGTTTGTTCTAATTCTGTGAAAAATGCTGTTTGATATTTTGATAGGGATTGCATAAATGTATAGATTACTTGGGTAGTATAGACATTTTAACAATGTTTGCTCTTTCAGTCCGTGAGCATGGAATGTCTTTCCATTTCTTTGTGTCATCTTGAATTTCTTTCTTCAGTGTTTTATTTATAGTTTTCAGAGTACAGGTCTTTCACCTCTTCAGTTAAGTTTATTCCTAGATATCCTAATTGTTTTTGGTGCAATTATAAGTGGAATTGTTTCCTTAATTTCTCTTTCTCCTGCTTTCATGTAGAGGAATGCAACAGATCTTGTACATTAGTTTTGTGTCCTGTGACTTTAATGAATTCATTTATCTGTCCTACTAGTTTCTTGGGGGAGACTTTAGGGTTTTCTGTATATAGTATCATGTCTTCTGCAAATAGTAAGAGTTTTACTTCTTCCTTACCAGTTTGGATGCCTTTTATTTCTTTTTCTTGTCTGATTGCTGTGGCCACAACTTCTAGTACTATGTTGAATAACAGTGATGAGAGTGGGCATCCTTATCTTATTCCTGACCTTAGGGGAACAGTTGTCAGTTTTCCCCTGCTGAGTATAATGTTTGCTGTAAGGTTTTCATATGATGCCTTTTATTGCTCCTCTGTAGTTTGTATTCTTTTTCTATTGAGGTTTTATTTCTTTATAATAGCTCTCAAATATTAAGGATGTTAATTCTTTCCTTTTATTTTTACAGATTTATCACTAGTTTTTTGTTTTTGAATTTTTGATAGTATTTTATAATGGGCAATCTGTCTGAAATTTAATTGTTTTTGTTATTATTTCCCAAATGGTTATGTAGTTGTCCCTGAACAAATAAAATGATTTGTTTCATGTAGCCGAAGGTAACATTCTTTCATCCTTTATTCCAGTTAAGCTCCAGTTCCATCCAGGGGTTCCTGCCTCAGCAGGGATTTCCAGCAGCCTGTGGGTGGAAAGTTAGGATGGCCGGCAGCCCAAGGCCAAGGGGACTGCAGCTCTGTCCAAGGAAAGACCAGCAGGAGCACACGCATCGCTAGTGACTCTCAAGGCAGCACAGATAGAATGAGTGGGTTCCGGGGTGGCTGATCCCTTCTGAGAGGCTGTCTGGGGGCTGCTCCAAGCCCGGTCACCAGCAGGTGGAGTGGGCGTCGTTACAGACGCCAAGCCATTTAGAGCAGCAGTGAATGGCTGAGCCGGTATCTCCCCTGCAAATCTGTTTGACCGTGAACCCACGCTGCTCCCTGCACAGATTGCCGCTGCTGCTTTCTTAGGTCAGTGGAGCTGTGAAGTCACCTGTGGCCCCTGCTCTGTGTGTGCCATGGCAGAGGTGCCACCAATGAGGAGTCAGAAATGTGAGTTCCCACTGTGGCAATGCCACTAATGAGTTTCAACTAACCCTTACTAACCCTCTGATTTTTTCACCTGTAAGATGGGAAAAAACATTTAACAATTTTAAAGTTCTATTGTAAGTGTCAAATGATATCACATATTTATTGATATACCCAAATCTGCATGTTAATATGTAGAAAAATGATTTTTAAACTGTACATTGGTGTACAGATGCTATGATTTGCTATAATGGTGCTGAATGTTACAGGGATTACAGAAGAGATCAAGACAGTTCTTGGTTTATAAAAGTTTATGTTGAAGAAATAAGACGAGATTTAATCACAGTCTTATTTGGTAGACTCTTTGGTAGAATGGGTAGATTCTTTTCTGTTAAAAAAAATTTTTTTTTTAATGTTTATTTATTTTTGAGAGAGACAGAGACAGAATGTGAGTGGGTTAGGGGCAGAGAGAGAGAGAGAGAGAGAGAGAGAGAGAGAGAGACACAGAATCCCAAGCAGGCCCTAGGCTCCGAGCCGTCAGCACAGAGCCTGACGTGGGGCTCGAACCCACAGACCGCGAGATCATGACCTGAGCCGAAGTTGGACGCACAATCAACTGAGCCCCCCAGGGGCCCCTCTTTTTTGTTTTTTAAAAAATTTTATGTCTTTAATTCTCATGAAAACGTAAATATTTTACTCGAAGTAGTGCTTCTTTCTCTTAAAAGTTTTTTTTTATTCAAGTGTAACTGACATACGTTGCCAAATTAGTTTCGGGTGTGCAATAGAGTGATTCGGCACTTCTGTACTTTTCTCAGTGCTCGTCCCAAGTCTGCCTGTCACACGTCGGCCACCCACCTCCCCTCTGGTGACCAGTGGTTTGTTCTCCGTATTTAGGAGTCTGTTTTTTTGGTCTGTTTTTTCCTTTGTTTTATTTCTCAAATTCCGCATATGAGTGAGATCATACGGTATTTGTCTTTCCCACACTGACTTATCTTACTTAGTATTGTGCTCTCTGGGTCCACCCATGTCATTGCACATGGCAAGATCTCATTCTTTTTTTAATGGCTGAGTAATATTCCTGTGTGTGTGTGTGTGTGTGTGTGTGTGTGTGTGTGTGTGTCTGTCTGTCTCCCACATCTTCTTTATCCAGTCAGTGGGTGAATTCTTAAGATTTTGAAACATTTGTAATGTTTAATATATTCTTTCATCTGTTTCTTAAGATTTCTTTATGCTTTGGGGAAGCAGTGGAAGGAGCTACATGGTAATTTCACTTCATCCACTTGGGACACTTTCTTTCATCACCAACTATATGCCGGCCACTGTGCTAGGGACTGGGTACTTCAAAATGATAAAACCCAAAAAGCAAATTGTGGTAACTTTGAAACATTTTGCTATTTTTTTTATATGAAACTGCCTGCTGTGTCTTGGCAATTGCAAGAATAATAAATAAAGTTTATGAATTGGGGAAGAATGTGCATTAATATATTCAAAATGTTTTTATTTTTTCCAAATACTGCACAATTTTCAAGCCTTTAAAAATCACCTCTTATTTGTTATAAGAAAGAATGTTCGTTATATGGGAGATCGTGGAGTGTGAGTCCTCTGACTGTACTTTGAGAACTTTATCACTTATACTTCCCCCGTAGCCTGGTATCTTGGCCTTATACATGATAGAATAAGGGTTTCTAGTCAGGTCCTGGAAACACCGGTGCATCTGAGCCAGCGTCACACAGCAGGAGGATTGCCGCCCAGGGGCCTGACCCCAGCCCTGCATTCTGCCTCTGCAGGGGTGACCTGGGTCAGGGTTGTGAAACGGTTAAATAGATCCAAGGTGGGCGGTAGGAGATATAGATTCACATTGCACTTTACCACCAATTTGCTTGGAAAATTTGGAAAATGATTTAGTATCTCAGTTATCGATAACAGTAATCAGTCTCAGTGGTAACTTTCTGAATACTCCTCAGTGCTAGCGCTGGGCTCACGCGTCGCAGACCACGCCATCCCAGACCGTCTCTGTGAGGCATAGCTCTGTCCATCTCCGGCGGTGGAAGCAGATTCCGCAAGGCTGAGCGAGGTCTGTCGAGTAGGAAGAGGGGGACTTGCATCAAGGTCTGTTTAATCTGGAAGCCCCTGGGAGGAGGGAGCTGTTGTGTGTACAGAACCTTCAGGACTTTGAGTAATCCCTTCTTTTTCCTGGGGGTGTGGTGTAGGAGGTGAGTAAGCAGCTGTGGCATACTGTGTGTGTGATCACACTCATCATGGTGAGTAAACAGACTGTCGTCTGTGTAACACACCAATACCTTCATTGTCTTCTGCGTCCCTGCGTTTTCAGATTGAGGATGGAAGAGCCACAGGGGTTTTTCTCCACTGGTGACGGCTGCGTCGGTGACACGGTCACAGAAAGGTGCCTGGTCGAATCTAAGGAGCCCGTGTCCCATGTTCAGCTTGCTTGTGGCCTGTGGTTCTGCGCTTTCCCTTTAGATGGGAATGAACTTTGCGTGTGGAGCACCAAGGACCCTTCTTACCAGGTACCTAAAAAGTTTTGTGTGTTGTTTGGTGAGTCCAGGGACTTGAAGAGCCTCGCGGTCACCTGTCCGTCCCTCTGATGCTGTTTGGGTGATGCTACCTTCCGCAGACTCAGCCACCAGCCAGGGGAGGAGAATGTCAACAAAACAAAACCCTGCGTTCGTTTTTGAGTTTTAGAAAATACACTGCCTGGAATCACTTTATTAAAGACGTTTTTTCTTTAATAAGAATATAAGCAAGAAGAGGTTCATCTTAATCAAGATAAGGTGAATTTTTCTAGATTTTAGATATAGCATATTTAAGGAAGTTTGTTGCGTTTATTGCAGAATATTTCACATCAAACTGACAGCTTTAAAGACATGAGTTTTCGTTCAAAGATTACTCCGTGACTAGTGTAATTATCTCAGTGCTCCTAAAAGCCAGTTTCGTTGTACAAAATGCAAAAGTGAATTCTGTCAGCATTTTTGGCATCGGGATAATCCTCATCTTCATTTTGGGCTTCCGGAGTCGGAGGCCGATGATTACCGCACATGCCTCAGTGCTGTGTCTGCCTGAGAAGCCCCTCTAACTTGCCATCTTACTGGCCCTCACTTTACTACGAGAAGTCGTTCATCATCGTTGAAGAGGAATCGATAGTTTGATTTTTTCCTATTGAGTTACGAGAGGTTTTTCTGTGTTTCTTCACCACAACTTATGCTGATGAATTGGGCCTACATTCTGATGTCCAGCTTGATGTTTCTCACTTTTTCAGTGGGGTGTGGAAGACTCAGAAAAACGTGTCCCGGATATTACGTGCCATCGTTGCGATTGTAACAAGGCGAACACCACTGGGTAGCTACCATCCAGGCCTCCTCTCAGCCAGTGCTCCCTTCTCTCCTCCCTCAACTCCTGGGGCCACATGCTGGTTTTGCTCCTGTTGGAACTCTGTGTGAGTGGGGTCGTGCATCATGCTGGACTCCTTGATTCACTGTTAGGTTCGTGGGACCCGTCCACGTTTTCATCACTGCGTAGTATTCCGCTGCATGGATAGACCACACTTAATCCTTTCCCTTATTGGTGGAGATCTGTTTCGTTTCCATGTTTCAACTGCTACAAGCATGTTTGTATATGTTTTTTGGTACACTCGTGTGTACAGTTGCTGAGGCGCATTGAATGTGTATATTTAGTTTAGTAGATAATGCCGAGATTCCCAGAGTGTTGTACCAACCTGCACTCCGTCAAAGGGTGTGTAAGAGTTCTAGTGGATTCACATCCTCGCCTGTACTTGGTCTTTTTACTTTTAGGCCTTTTGGTGAGGGTCAGGGTACTTATTTGTAATTTGCAATTCTTTGATGATTAAAGTATTGGCCATTTGGACTTTCTCTCTTGTGACATGTGTTCAGTTTCATGCTATTTTTCTGGTGGATTATCTGTCATTTTCCTATTGACCTGAAGGATTGCTTTATGTATTCTAAATAAAAACTTCACATTAGTTTGCATTTTGTAGAGTTTTATGCCAGTGGAATCAGACAGTGCATACTCTTTGTGTCTGGCATCTTTCACTTAGAGTGACTATTTTGGAAGTTACCTGCTTCGTTGCATGTATCAGTGGTTCATCCGTTTTCAGTATTGAGAACATTTCCCTTGTGTGAATGTACTATAATTTATTATTCATTCTCCTGGTGGTGGGCATTTAGGATATTGTCAGTTTTGAGTATTACAGATAAAATGCTGTGAATATTTGCCCATCTCTGTTTGTAAATGTCAGGTCACATTGCTTGATCATGTTCTTTGCATCTTCTACTCATGACCTCTGGTTCTGTCACTTACTAAGAGAGGCGTATTGGAGTCTGTGGCTAGACGTAACTTGTCTGTTTTCCTTCCGTCAATTTTGCTCCGTGTATTTTGGAGCTCTGTCATTAAGCACATGTATGTTTAGTATCTTTATAGTCTCTTGGTGAATTGACACTCTTAATGTTATGAAGTGACATTTCTTCATCCCTGGTAATATTTCTTGTTCTGAAAATTTGGCTACACTTTTTCTTTTTAGGGGCTACTTTTTACCTTTTTTTTTTTTTTTTTTAAGGACTTTATTATTTTTTCAAAAGCAGTTTTATTTATTTATTTATTTATTTATTTATTTATTTATTTATTTTTTTCAACGTTTATTTATTTTTGGGACAGAGAGAGACAGAGCATGAACGGGGGAGGGGCAGAGAGAGAGGGAGACACAGAATCGGAAACAGGCTCCAGGCTCTGAGCCATCAGCCCAGAGCCTGACGCGGGGCTCGAACTCACGGACCGCGAGATCGTGACCTGGCTGAAGTCGGACGCTTAACCGACTGCGCCACCCAGGCGCCCCATCAAAAGCAGTTTTAGATTGACAGCAAAATTGAGGGGATGGTACAGAGATTTCCTATATGCCCCCTGTGTCAACCCCACCAAACACACAACCTCCCCCACTATCAGCACCCTGCACCAGAGTCCTGCATTTGTTGCAACTGATGAACCTACATTGACACATCATCATCACCCAGAGTCCACCATTTACCTTAGGGGTCAGTCTTGGTGTTGTACATTCTATAGATTTGGGCAGATATATAATGATGTCTGTCCACCGTTTAATATCTGTCTTCTTCTCTTGGTGTTGTCTTTGATGGAGCAGAAATTTTTAATTTTAATGAAGTCCAGCCTGTCAGTTCTTTCTTTCATGGATCATGCCTTTGGTGGCTTATCTGAAAAGTCATCACCAATTTAAGTCATCTAGATTTTCTCCCGTGTTATTTTTTAGGAGTTTACAGTTTTCTCTATTGTATTGCCTTTTTTCCTTAGTCAGAATTCAGTTGACTGTATTTCTGGCTCTCTCTTCTCTGCCATTGATCTATTTTTCCTTTCTTGTGCCAATACCACTGCTCTTGATTAGAGTAGCTTCATAGTAAGTCTCACAGTCAGATACTGTCAGTCCTCCAATTCTGTTGTTCTTCTTCATTATCATGAGACTATCCTGGTTCTTTGCCTCTATGTAAACTTGAAAATCAGTTTGTTGATTTTGATTGGGTTGCATTAAATCTGTAGATCAAGTTGGGAAGAACTGACATGTTGATAATATTGAGTCTTTCTTTTCTTTTTTTTTTTTTTTAATTTTTTTTTCAACGTTTTTATTTATTTTTGGGACAGAGAGAGACAGAGCATGAATGGGGGAGGGGCAGAGAGAGAGGGAGACACAGAATCGGAAACAGGCTCCGGGCTCCGAGCCATCAGCCCAGAGCCCGACGCGGGGCTCGAACTCACGGACCGCGAGATCGTGACCTGGCTGAAGTCGGATGCTTAACCGACTGCGCCACCCAGGCGCCCCAATATTGAGTCTTTCTATCCATGAACATGGAATATCTCTCCATTCATTTACTTTTTTGATTTCTGTCAACAGAGTTTTATTTTTTCTCATAGAGAACTTACACAGTTTTGCTAGATTTGTCCCTCAGCATTTCGTTTGTTTGGGTGCTAATGTAAATGGTATTGTGTTTTTAATTTCAAATTCTACTTATTTATTGCTGGTATATAGGAAACCAGTGGAATTTTGTGTATTAACTTTGTATCCTACAAGCTTGCTATAATTCTTAGTTTCAGTTTTTTGGGTTTTTTTTTTTTTTTCCAGTTCTTTGGATTTTCTACATAGGTGAGCATATCATCCATGAACAAAGTTTTATTTCTTTTTTCTCGGTCACTATACCTTTAAACTTCCTTTTATATTGTTATTGCATTAGCTAAGACCCCCAGTATAATGTTGAAAAGGAGTGGTGAAGGGGACCTACTTGTCTTGTTTCTAATCTTGGTGGGGAAGCTTATAGTTTCTCACCATTTAATACATTAGCTTTTGTTATGTTGTGGATACTCTGTATCAAGTTGAGGAAGTTCCCGTCTATTCCTACTATACTGATAGTTTTTATGATAAATTGCTATTGGATTTTGTCAAATGCTTTTTCTACGTTTTTGATATTTTCATGTGATTTTTTTTCTTTAGCCTGTTGATGTGATGGATTAATTATTTTCAAATGTTGAACCAGCCTTGCATATTTGGAATAAATTTCCAAATCTCACTTGGTCATGGTATATAATTTTTTATACATTATTTGGTTTGATTTGCTAATATTTTGAATATTTGTTGAGTTCTGGATCTATGTTCATGAAATATATTGATTTTTAATTTTCTTTTCTTGTGATGTCTTTGTCTGGTTTTGGAATTAGGGTAATGCTGGCCTGATAGAATGAGTAAGGAAGTATTTACTCTGTTTCCTCTGAAAATAGTGTTTTCTGTTTTCTTTCTTCAGTCTCCTGAAAGAGATTTTGGAGAATTAGTAAAATTTCTTCCTTAAATATTGGGTAGAATTCACCAGTGGATCCATCTTGGTCTGGTGCTTTCTGTTTTGGAAGGTTATTAACTACTGATTGTTTATATCTCTATTTAACCTTTTGAACATATGGAATAGAATTAGGACTGGTTTGATGTCCTTATCTAGCAATTCTGCAATCTGGATTGGTTCTGGTTTTGTTTCAAGGCCATCTGGATGATTTGTCAGTAGGTGTTTTCCATGGGTATGTATTTCTCTTGGTTTTTGACTGAATAATCTTGACTCCTTGAGTACCTGATTATTTTTGATTGACTGCTAGACAGTCAGTATTAAAAAAAATGCACAGCTGGTTTGAGGCTCTGGATGACCTTAACTTCTTGCAGAGATAATTTATGTTTGCTTCTGATAGCTGGCTGGGTGAGGAGGGCACTGGCAATTTCCGGTCACTCTAAGCCAGTCAGGGATTATGAGAATTTGGAGGTGGGCTTGTGAGCACTCTTCTATGGCCCGTTCACCTCTCCTCCTTGGACCTGGTCCTTTGGGTCACTACTCTAGCCCTGGGCGTTTGGCAACATGCCCTTCCCTCCCACTGCAGTGGGCTGTATTCTTTTTTTAAAGCAGTGTTTTAAAATGTGGTGTTTTAGGGGCGCCTGGGTGGCTCAGTCGGTTAAGGGGCCGACTTTGGCTTAGGTCATGATCTCGCGGTCCGTGAGTTCGAGCCCCGCGTCGGGCTCTGTGCTGACAGCTCAGAGCCTGGAGCCTGTTTCAGATTCTGTGTCTCCCTCTCTCTGACCCTTCCCCGCTCATGCTCTGTCTCTCTCTGTCTCAAAAATAAATAAACATTAAAAAAAATTTTTTAAATGTGGTGTTTTAAGAAAAAAAAATGCATGGAGTCCTCACCTTAAGGCTGTCAACTCTATTCTCAGAGGTACTTTGCAGGCAGTGGAATTCTTTGCCCTTATCCCAATAAGATAATTCTGTTTGTACCTGAAAATGATGCATTTAATTACGCCCCGTTTGTGCTTCTAGTCCCGTGAGTATCTCAGCTTTCAATGGCCTCTACCGGAATTGTCAGAAGGCTGCGTTTTGGTAGAAGTCTTCACGGGTGAATGGCCTCCCGTGCTGGATCCCTTCTCTCAGTTTCCTTCTTCTCTGGTCTTAATTCTTTGTTGCTTTCATTGCTCTCTGGTGCCTTATCTTGCTCATCTAGATTTTTTTTTTTTGCAAATTTTGCCAGTTTTTCTTGTCGTTCTCATCAGGAGGTTGGTACAGATGAACTGGCCTGCCATGAGCAGGTCCTCCTGTTTGCGCGATGGCCCTCACGTCAAAGCACCTACTGTGTGCTGGCTGTCAGCTCGAAAGGAGCTCCCTTAGCACAGCCCAGACAACCTCTGATCTTTCCTGATTCCGCGCTGTCTTCCTTATGCCCCCATTCCCCTAGGGATTCAGCCCGAACACTGATTACCTTTGCTCTTGTCCCTCTTCTATCTCGCGATGCCCGTTGGTCACAGAGCCTTTGGTTCATTGTCTGCCCCCGTCTCCATCCCTGTCACCCTAGTTCAGGCCTTTGCTGTGCTGTCTTCGGAGTGTTTGGTCTCACTGTGTCCCCAGTATCGTCCCTCTTCCACCCTTGCAGCAGTGTTACAAGTCTGGTCACAGATTCCTCTGCTTGCACGTTTCTGCCGGCTTCCGGTTTCCTCATGCTTGGTCAGAGCTGTGAACACGCTCGTCACAGTGTCGCGCTTGCCCAGGCTTTCTGTGGCCCCATCACCTTCCTCGCTTGTACCAGCAGCCTCGTAAATGTGCCTCGTCTCCCAGCGGCCGGAACGCTCCCCTCCTCTTGCGGATCCTTCTCATTTCCTCAGTGTCCAGCACAGCAGGACCTCTGTGGCACACTGCAGGGACGCGACACACATTTGCTTAATTCATGACTGATGAGGAAATGGAAGAGTGAGGTGACTTGTATCATTTTACTAGTGCGCGTGATCCACGATGTTGAGTGACGGTAAGATGGTTCACCTGACCGTAATTTAATAGTACATTAACGGGAATTTTAATAAGTGAATATATGAAAGAAACATATTTGAAAAATTCAAGCCATTTGGTTTCTTAGGTTTGAGGTTATGCCATTATGTTCCTTTATTCTTTAAGTGTTCTCTGTAGTTGATGATATTTCTCTTCTTGTTAACTTTGTTAGCCTCTAATCCTAAGAGGGCACCGTCAGCCGATCACTGCTGTGACATTTGGAAATACAGTGAGTCCACTTCTCATCTGTTCCGCATCACAGGATTCTGTTATGTTGTGGAGTCTGGATGAGTGCAGACAGAAAGTGCTTCTAGGTAAATGAACCCTTAAAATACATTTAAAAAAGTGTAAAAGGGAACGACTCACCCTTAAATAGACTTGGTAACATACAGGGGCTTGGGAGCATTTTTGACTCCTTTACCCTTGAAACTGAGTGTCCAAGCTGGATGTTCTGTGTGGGAAGCTTACCAGGCATTCACACGTGCTGACTTTTGCCGTGTGTGGATCTGATATGATAGGCTCATTAGTTTTACTCTTACGTATTTCCTTATTTTGATATCTGTGGTTTTTTTGGACCTCTGAAAACAGGTAGGCAACTGAAGTGTTCTTTCCTTACAGAGACCGTGAGGGGAGGGAAACACATTTCAAATAGGCGAGTAACTGGTTGTTGGTTGTGGGGAGCGCAGCAGAGAAAGGCAAGGTGTCGACAGAGGACGTGGGCAGGACACGTCCACGTGGTGTCATCTCTGGGGAGGTGGCTTTTGAGCTGGGGGATGAGGAGGAGCTGGACGCAAGCGAGGGCCGGTGCCGGACGGTGGCCCCGTGCCACGTGGGAGCGGCGTTGCCGGCAGAGCCGGCCGTGTGCGCACGGGCCCTCTGTGCGCGGAACCTGACCTGTCTGAAGAGCTGAGAGGGAGCCCGCGGGGTGGGAGCATGGGGACATTAGAGCTTGAGCAAACAAAGTTGAGAAGTTAGGTGAGGACCACGGTGAGGAGTGTGAACGTTATGTGATTAGTGACACTGAGAATCCGTAGGACTACTCCAAATAGGTGTCAGGGGACCTTAGGCGACCGTGTACATGATAGTAGTATATGTCCGTGTGTATAAAACGCAGTTAATAGAATGGAAGACCTCACTTCATTTAACTTGTAGCCTGAGCGCAGTATCAGTGTATCACCACAGCACACACACACGTACTTCTGTGATACACACGCATGTGGTACAGACGTAGCCACACACACATACACATAAATAGTATATACACATGCTCATACATATGCAGTACACAAACATACGTAGTGCACGCAAGCACAGTGCATGCATGAATGTACATACGCATGGCACACCCACATAGAGCACGCACACGTATATAAACGTGGCATGCACATGCACGGTACACATCGTACACAAAGCACATACACGTATAACATACACACATGCACATGTAACATACATGCATGTGCAAATAGTGCATACACACCTGCACATATACACACGTAGTATTTGTACGCACATATAGCACGAATATACACACCCACACATATGTGCACATATTCAATATTTATGTAGTACCCACACACGTACATACATATATGGCAATGCACATGTAAACCTACACACATTCACCTACACAGATAGTGCACACATACATATGCATGCACACACATAGTACATAATGCATGCATATGTGTAGATACAATAGTACATACACGCAGGGATGTGCATACAGGCATGCATGTATACGTATAGTGCACGTATATACACTTATACGTATACATGCACACAGAGTATCTGCAGACATACACAGATACACACATAGTGCATATACATTCATACACGCAGTGCATGCTACACACTACATGCATACATGAGCACATATGCATATGTGCATGCACACGCATATACGCAGTACATAGACCTGCATACACATACGTAGATGGACACATGTGCATATAGTACACACATAGAGCACACGCACACACATGTACGTATGTATACAGCACACACAGGTATACATGTACACATAACGTACACGTGTGCACAGCACACACATAAGTATATGACCCATGTACATTTGTGTATATGCATACACGTACACACGTGCATACCACACATGTGAATATAGTAATAGCAACACACATGTGCCTATGTGTATAGCATGTGCACACACACGTGCGTCAGCATACAACACGCACACATGTACCTGTGTGTATAGCACACACACGTGTAGTAAGCACACACCACACATGTACCCGTGTGTGCAGCACATGCTCACACATGCATGTAAGCATACAGCACACACATGTACCTGTGTATGTAAGCACACAGCACACACACACACGTACATGTGTATCTACCATGTGCATACATGTACGTAAGTATACACATGTGTACCTGTGTGTATAGCACATACACGCACGTACATAAACACAGAGCACTCACGTACATGTACATGTTGTATAGCACGTGCACACACATGAATGTGTGTACACAGGGCACGCACACACATCTGTGCAGTGAACCCCATGTTAGTGATTTGTTCCCCGTATGGGTCTTTGTCAATAAGTAGCCTTCCATGTTGGAAGGGCTGTGTCCCAAGGTTTATTTTTAAGTTGCCCTTCAGAACTCCTGTACGTTTTGACACACGTGGTCCACTGCATGGACAGGGGGTCGAAGCTGGGCCCTGAGGCACAGCATTCACGCTCACACGGAGCTCAGTCTGGTGGGTGTGCCAGGGCTGCTCTTGTGTCTTCAGCTGTGGCAGTGGGACCGGAACGGGCTCGTTCTGCCCTCACTGCAGGGATGGGGGTGCGGTTCTCAGAAGCCGCAGGCCGCTGCCTGTGCCCCCGTGGCCTGGGCCGGGTGCAACGCAGCCGGGCTTGGTTTCTGCGCCCGTGGAGAAGGCAGGCTCACTTACAGTACCTTCGCGTCCAAGAGCGATTTGTGTTTGCACTTGGACTTGGGAAATGGCACGTGGCCTGGGACCTTGGAGTGCTCCATCATTGGTCACTTGTCCTCAGTCTCCTTTGCTGGCTCGTTGTCACTCTCCCACCTCTTAACGTTGGCACAGGGGCTTTTCCTGTTGCCCCTCAAAAATCACTCCCTTGATGACAGCCAGGCTCTGACAGCTGCCACCTGTGCTCTCGCCGAGCGAGGCCTCGATCCCGACTGCGGCCTCGGGTGTGAACTGCCCTGGACGCGCCCACGTGCACAGCTGATAGCTCTGAAGCTTACCTGTCCTGACCACCTTTCCCACACCTGCCTCCCATAGCCTTCCCTGCGGCTGCTCCGGTCAGAAGTCATGGCATTGTGTCCTGTCTTCCTTCCTCGCCTCCACGTCCTCCCAACCCACGGCTTCCGTCTGCTCTCCCTTCAGAACACATGCGAAGCGTGGATGCTTCTCACACCTGCCTTCACCGTGCCCCGCAGATTCGCTCACTGGCGCGTTGTGCTGGCGCCTCCCGCTCCCCCCGTTCTGTCCCAGTCCTGTCCCAGGGCTCTGCTCTCAACTCCACAGCCAGGGCTCCCTGCGAAATTGGAGTCTGAGTGCATCCCACCGCTGCCCAAAGCTCTCCAGGGCCTTGCTGACAAAGCTACACGACCCCTACCTCTACCCCCAGCTTCAGGGAACAGTCCAGGCATAGTGGCCTGCCCCCAGGGCCATCTCAGGATCCCTGCTGATTCTGCCACGTCCAATTCTCCGGTGCCGAGAGCCCTTCTGACCACCACCCTGGACCCCAGTCCCCTTTTGTGCTTTGCTTTTTCTTACAGTGTTCACTTCCTTCTAGCACTGTGTGTAATTCATTGACATATTTTGGTTATTGGTGTCTAAGTGCCCCCACCTCCTACCCCAGAGTAAGCTTTCCACGAAGGCGGGACTTGGTTTTGTTTGTTGGTCTATCCCGAGTGCCTGTAGAGATGCCAGGGGTAGCATCGGTGCCTGCTAAATACTCGTGGAGCGGACCCATGGGATTAGCCTGGCCAGACTAGAACTCCCACGTGGTGTGTGCACGGCTCCCTTTCTGTAGGCTCGGGGTCTTGCTGTTGACATGACCTTGCTGGACAGCAGGCAGCCTCAGTCCCACGGCCCAGCCCTGGTGGTGCTGAGTCCTCACTGCCCGGTGCTGGCTTGGTCGAGGGGCCCTGCTTGAAGCTGAGGGCTGGCTTGTGTCGTTGCCTTGGCCCCACAGGCCTGCCCGGAGACGTCCTCGTGGTGTGGGCAGGTCTCGGAGGCTCGGATGGGCGCCCTGTGCCTTTGCCTGTCTGGAGCGAGCCCGGGCAGCTCGCGCGGCCAGGCCTGGAGCAGGTGTGGTCACGGGGGGAGGGACGAACCGGGACCGTGGGCCATTCTGTGTGACCCCCACACGTTTGCACTTGCAGCCTTCGCAGAGACCTGTTATCTGCAAAGGCACAGAGTCATCTTCCGATGGACGGTTCTTGCGTTCCGCATACTTCCAGAAGAACTGTTTGCACTTGATGGTTTTAGTACCGTCGAGGAGCTAACGTCGCGTCAGAGTCCTTGTCACTCCGCATCACGTAGAGAGAGAGGGCTGCGTGGTCGGTGATTCCCTGTGGCTCGTGGGCCACTCTGACGGCCTGACACTAACAGTGAAACTCCCTCTAGGGCTGACTCCTCGAGGGCTCGTCCTGGGCACTCTTCTGGGGAAGGCGCTGTATTTGAGGCTGAGCCCGGATGACCGAGCAGCTGCGGTGTGTGCCGGGAATAAAATCTTTATGCTGGATACCGAGGTGGGTGCCGCATCTGCCGGCGGGGCCTCCTTGGGGCCCTGCCCGCCTCTCATCGACAGTATTTTCATGTGGGCGTATTTTCGTCAGGGGGTTAGGGAAAGCGAGGGAAAACACGTCTTTGTCCTGCGCTGGGAAAAAGCCCCCTGAACCAGCTACTGCTGTTTCAGGCCAGTTAGGAAACCTGTGCACGGAATCCGGCTATCGGGGTGCTGAGTGAGGGCGCTCAGTCCGATATCGTTTCTCTCATTTGCCCCTCCTCTGCGGACCTCTCCGAGCCCTCACAGAGTGCCGCTTTCGTTGATCTCTTTTACAAAACTTGCTTTCTTCGGGAGCTGGATGTCTCTCACTTATCTCTTCACTGGGATGGGTGTAAGGGACTGTGTCTCCCCTTCCTCTTGGTGACTTCAAGTCTCGCATCTGATTCTGAAATGGGAGCCCTGGAGGGTCAGCCAGGTGTAAGAGAGCAGGGGTGGGGCGGGAGGGGGGGTGTTGAAGGAGGCCTCTTGTTTCCTCAGGGTTACGTCTGCCAGAGACTTTGGGGACAGATCATCCAAGGCCTGGTGTTGTGTCTTGGCTGCTATTTGCCAAATGAGTGCAGTTAACAAAGCTCTTAGCCTACGAAGAGTGTTTTTGCCACACCCACTTAAAAAACGCTAGGTTATGGAGAACGTTAGGCATGAAATCTTGCTCGAGGATTAGCTGATGGCAGGCTTTCTGTGTGCTAGGCAGTTTGGGGCCCAGAGTGTCCATTTCTGCGTTCAAGTGATTTTTGGCCAAATTGTGAAATTGAGGCTCACACAAAGGGCTAGTGTTGTCGGTGAAGTCACAGGTGAGGGGACGTGTCCTAGGGTTCAGAATGGCTTTGGGGGTTGTTCGGCGATGCAGGGCTCACCGCCCTTGTGGGACGAGCCAGGAGGGCAGAGAGCCCTGTCCGTCCCGGAAGCAGAGATGCAGGACCGGAGTCAGGTGTCAACCCTGTGGGCGAGCAGGGAGGTGGCGCCTGTTGGCTCCACCGGCCAGCCCACGCTGCCCTCTCCCTTCCTTAGCGGCCTGTACGAGGTGAGTGCGGGCTGCCCACGAACCTGGGGTGTGGTAGCACCGTTCCCCGAGCACTAGGGAGGGCCCAGTTTGTGAGACTTGCTCCGAGAGACTTTAAATGAGTGTGAGCACTTAAACTAACGTAAGCCACGACCATAAGTACTGAGAGGAAACGGGGTATTCTTTAGGACAGTGTCGTGTTACGGAAGTTGGAGGCAGCAGAAATGTGTATGTCCTCACGTCCAATCTGGAAGTGAGCCTGTTCTTGTGCACATCGCCACCTCGCCTTTTGTTTTGGCCCGTCTGGTGACGAGAGGCAGAAGTGGCCGTGCCGCACAGGGGTCTCTGGTCGCTCTGGGAACGTCTTCTCGGTGTAAGTGCTTACTTGTTGGTCAAGTCGCTGTGTGGATACGGCTGCGTACGTATTCCCCGCATGTGTGTGCGGGGACATGATCTTGTCTGACCGGATGCTGTAGGGGTTGAAGAGCAGTCCTGACCCCAGGTGCCCGGAGTCCCAGGTGAACAGCACCAGCACCTCTCGGCCGCGCTATGTGATTCCGGCTTGTGACGCTGTCTTCTGGGGCTGCCTGGTTGTAACAGGCTTCAGGGACTTAGGAGGAAGGCTAGCTTGGTAGTAGATGAACACGCTGTCCTGTGTTATCTCAAGACGCCGTCCCCACCCCTGCAGGGCTGTTCTGGGAAGTCCTGGCACTGGAGGGTGGCTTCAGGGCAGCACACGGTGTAGATGGGAAGGTGCGAGAGCCCGGCCTTCCTGCTGCCTGGCTCTGTTCTGGATCGGCCTCAGTTAGCCTTGTCTCTAAACTTGCCGTGCACATGGCCCCGGGAGGCCTCTGCTTCCTTCCCTCTCAGCTCAGCCATCTGAGTTTGAACTTGTAGGTTTATATACAAGTACTTTTCACATTTGGAAAAGGGAATTGCGTAGACTTTAACAGAAACCGTTTTCTGTGAGATGTATGTAACTTCTTAACAAGAGTTGCCAGAACATTCAGTTACTGATCTTCCTTCACAAACTCTCCCAGAGCCGGTCTACACTAGCTGTGCTGGAGGGTCACCGGGGCCCCGTGACTGCAGCTGAGTTCTGTCCATGGCAAACACATATCATCATTTCAGTGTCTGAAGACAGAAGCTTTAAGGTAAGGGCATGGGCACCGGGATACTTCAGATGCTTTCTAGAAGGACTTTCTGGTTTGTGGTCCCTGCACATACGCTCTTGTGTCGGCCAGGAGTGTCCCAACGTCCCCAGCTGGGCTTGGGTTACCTGCGGGCCCCTCCTCCTCAAGTCCAGGGCCTTCGGGAGCTAGAACATCAAATTTACTTCCATGTTACTTCCTAAGGGCCCAGAGCAGAAGAAGCATCTTCCGGTAGCAGAGGATTCAGTCAGAACTAAACTGAGGTTGAGAAGGAAAGAACTTAAAAAAATTTTTTTTAACGTTTTATTTATTTTTGAGACAGAGACAGAGCATGGACAGGGGAGGGGCAGAGAGAGAGGGAGACACAGAATCCGAAACGGGCTCCAGGCTCCGAGCTGTCAGCACAGAGCCCGACGCGGGGCTCGAACTCACGAACCGCGAGATCATGACCTGAGCTGAAGTCGGACGCCCAACTGACTGAGCCACACAGGCGCCCCGAGAAGGAAAGAACTTAAAATGCCAGCTAAGCTCCCATCAGGCTCCAAGCCAGCCGGTATTAGGTCTGTTATCTTATTGACCAAGTGAGGACTTCTCCATGGTGACTGGAAGAAAAGTTGAGGGTAATTTAGGCACATCTGCAGAGTGACAGAGGAGAGAGACGGAAAATACTTCTGTTGTCTTCTGGAAGTTTCTGCCCCGTAGAATTGGCCTCACGGGTGCTGTTTCCCGTGCTGTGAGCAGGCCGCCTGGGCTCAGCCCCAGTCCTTCCAGCTGCTGGTGATAGATGAGCGGTGCTGTGCCTCACTTTTCCCGTCTTTAAGATGGACTTTTCCTGTCTTTAAGATGTCTCACGGGGGCTCGGAGAATGGGAGCTGATGTTTGGAGAGCACTGGAGGGTGCCCGAAAAAATAAACATGTACTTTTAGTCAGGGTATCAATTACTGTGGCCTTCACACCTCTTCTTGGCAACGTCTCCAGCCTCGTCTTGGGTCTTCCCAAACCCACAGATTGTTATTTCTGGAAATGCTAGCTTTCCCCCCTGTGATTCTGACACCTTTTATGGTGTTGCTACAGTTTTATTGTTTATGTGCCTGTTTTATTACTATTTTCTCCTTTAGGTAACCGTTCACGTGAATTAATTTGTAATTGAGCAGAAGCATTAGTCCACGCTGTGTCAAATGGCAGAATTGTACCCCCTCTAAAAACCAAGTGTCTTTCCAAAGGTCTGGGACCATCACGCGGGATCACCACTGTACAGCTCAGCAGTGCTAACAGGTGACTGGACCTGCGGACGGATGTTCTGTCGGTGGGCCGCGTGCCGCTCTGTAGGCTGGACGCACCCCATCCAGGGTCTCCGTGCCCCTCACGAGCGGCTGTGTCGCACCCGTCTGCACAGCGTAAGGATTCACTTCACAGGCACATTTCCTGAAGTTTTTAACTTAAAATTGAGCATGTGTGTGCTTTCTGGAAGCGCCATCCAGTGAGGCCTCTGCAGGAGGCATCTGCCCCACGGGCTGAGCGTGTGGTCGGGCAGAGTTTGCACGGTCCTGCGCTGCAGGCCACCCTGTGCCCTCCTCACACTGTCTGTGCACCGGTGAGTCCCCAGCATGCGTCGGCAGGTCCCTGCAGAGCGTGCCGTCCTGGCCTGCGGTGCCCTCTGCCTCCCTCTGCCTCCAGGGCTGCTGTCCCAGCACCCTGAGCGTCTCCTACTTCACATGGGGGCGGGGGCAGAGAACTAACAGAAGACGGTCCCTTTCTTGGGATGAGTCCCGTGAAAACACAGCTTAACCAACGTGCAGGTGCCTTGTGATCTGGTGCAGTTTCTGCTATATTTCCCAAAGGATTCAGCATTCTTCCCGGTGCCACTCATCTGTGTGTGGAACAGAATGTTTTAACAACTTGAATACGTTTGTCAATCACAGGGACAAAGCACATCTCTTAGAATTATGTTGGAATTCTTTTCCTGAAATTAATTATGTGGAATTATTTGTCAAGAAAATAATTACAAACTTGATTTTGCATATCATTTATAGTTTATGTAGGGCATACAATGGTTAAAAATTTTTTTTTAACATTTATTTATTTTTGAGAGAGACACCGAGCACGAGTGGGGGAGGGGCCGAGAGAGAGGGAGACACAGAATCCGAAGCAACTCCAGGCTCCGAGCGGTCAGCCCAGAGCCCGACGTGGGGCTCGAACTCACGGACCGCGAGATCGTGACCTGAGCCGAAGTCGGACACTTAACCGACTGAGCCATCCAGAGGCCCCGGGCATACAATGGTTTTAAATGTCCCATTTATTTTAATTCTCCTTCTGAATTCTTGACAATTTAGATTCAGAATAAGTTTTAAATTAAATGACACATGCTAGGCAACAATTTAAACAGTAGGAATCATTTAATTGCTGTTTTCCTGACTAGACCCACGAGTTTATTCCTGTTGCGAGTTTAATGCCATTTGGGCACTAGTGCTGTTGATGGTGTGGGTGTGGGGCTGCCTGGCATCGGTCGTGCGGGAGAGCTTTGAACGGACCGGTCCGTTGGCTCCGACCTGGACTGGAAGCTTCTCCCCACCCCCGCCACGTCCCCCCCCCCCCGCCCGCCCTTTTTCTGGTGGGCGGTGTCGCTACTTCCCTCACACACGTTCTCAGAACGTGTCTGCACTTGAGGTTTTTATTTGCTGGTGAAGAAGTTATTTCAGGATAGTTCAGACTTGACTAAAAATATGTGTAAGTAAAACCTGGATAGCTTTCAGTTTAAATATTTACAGCTCAATTTTTACGTATTCCCACTGTAGCCTCCCCGCTCCTGAGTCTCCTCGTGGATGAAAAGAGCCAGCAGTTGGTGGTGGGATGTGCAGACGGGCAGGTGAGGGGACCGCAGGCTGGAATCTCAGTTCCAAACGTGACGGTGACCGCACGAGCGTCTGCAGAGAGGTCTCTGCTCCGACGCTCGCGTGTGTTCTTTCTGGTTTGAAGACACCGTTGACCCCAGCAGCCGAGCTGTTCCTTCTGGGGTCGCGGCATCCGTGTGGGGCTCACTCGCACGCACCCACAGCCTGTGAAGAGCCAGCTTTATGGAGCTTGAAAAATTGGAAGATACTTGATTTTTTTCAGAATTTAGTTTCTCAGGTGAGCCATTCAGGTGTGCTTCCCCAAGTATGGATTCTGTTCTCTTCTTACACAGTTGCTGTGGAGAAAATTTGGGCAGGATACTGTATTAGGAAATAACCAAACACCCCCATTCAGGCACTTCCGGTCAGCACACGTGTGGGGCTCCCCTCGCCAGGCAGTCCTCCACCACTCTGGCTGGACGGCCTGCAGTTTAACTCCGTTCTGACACTGTCTAGGTGGAGACCCACAGGTTAAGGGCTCAGGCCGTGAGACTCCACCCCCCTTCAGATGCCAGTCACAGGTGGTAGGTCCCCGGCTACTCGAAGTTTCTGCCCAAACTGCCTGAAAATTGGAGGTTCCCATGCCCCCGCTTGGGGTTTGACTAATTTGCTAGAGAGCCTTGCGGAACTCGGGAAGCGTTTATTTACGGGTTCACCCGTCTATTAAAGGGTGTGATGGAGAACACAGACAGCAGCCAGATGGGGGGGGTGTAGATGGCGAGGGGGGGAGGGTCCCGCGTGTAGAGCTGGGGGTGGGGTCAGCCTCCCAGTGTGGACGCGGTCACCAGCCTGAAGCCCCTGGGTGAACCTCGTGAAGTAAATTTTGAGGTCTGTGGTCTCGTTGCCCATTGATTGAACCCAGCCCAGCCAGGATGAACCTCCAGGTCCCAGGGGGGGCTGGACAGAAAGCTGCCAGCCTCTCATCACCTGTGGCTCCCCTGGCCACCTGCCCCCACCCTTGAGGCTTTCCAACAGGCACCTCGTTCACACAACAAAAGACACCTTTGTCCTTCTCTTCACTTGGGAAATTCCGAGGGTTTTAAAGGAGCTCTGTGTCAGGAACAGGAAATCCACATACATGGATTTCTTAGTTATAAGTCACAGTATCACGGGTGTATTTTTGGAAACGAGGAAATTTTATCTTTCTTTTTCAAAAAATTTTTTTTTTAATGTTTGTTTATTTTGAGACAGAGAGAGACAGAGCATGAACAGGGGAGGGCTGGGAGAGGTCAGAGAGGGAGACACAGAATCTGAAACAGGCTCCGGGCTCCAAGCTGTCAGCACAGAGCCCGAATGCGCGGGGGGCAACCTGGACATGAGATCACAGATCATGACCTGTGGGCAGAAGTGGGAGCTCAACCCCAAGTGAGCCGCCCAGGCTAACTTCTTTCTTCTTTGACAAAGGTGACTGTCACCACATTATCTTTAGCTTGGTTCACGGTGATGACAGGTGGTGTATATTCGCACCTGTAAAATGTCCGTGCCCTTGGCTCAGAGAACTGGCTGTGAACGTGGGGGAGTCAGAGCATCAGCCCTCCTGGTGAGTGTTGTGAGTCAGAGGCGTCTGCACCTGCAAGAGGCAGAAGAAGCACCGAGGCTCCGCTGTGGAGGAAGGGAGGAGTCAAACCTCTGAGGCCACGTGCAGTGTCTCCTCTCCTGACGTCTGTCTTTCTCCTTACATGCCACTTCACCTGTGAAACCATCGGCCACCTTGTGTGAGCTACGTGTGTGTGTGTGGCTCTTGTAGCCTGGGTGTTCATTATTATCATTAATATTAATGTGTAGCCTGCTTTCTCAGCTCTGGAGTGTTCAGTTGGTGAAGACATCATGCTCGTTGTAAGTTGACCTAAAGAAGAAGAGAGAGACTTTCTCCAGGAGGTCGAGTCCAGGTTGTGCAGCCTGCCAGGTAATACACTGTGACCCCTCAGACCCCGCCCCCACCCTGCCCCATGGGGTTCCCGCCCTGCTCTCCAAGCTGATCAGCCTAGAGGGTCCTGGGGGTTAGGAGGGAGGGCCGGAGAGGGGCGGGGAGACAAGTGACGTCTGACCTCAGAGCTCCACCAGCACCAGGCGGATCTGTAACGGAGGATGGGGTGGGCCAGTCACCCCATCCTGTGTGCAGGCTTTCACCAAGGGTCCGGTGACCAGGAGAGGCGTGTTCCCGGCCCAAGGCAGCTGGCTTCCTGGCTGCTGTGGGTTGTCATGGTGCTGAGGTCCAGGGTGGAGGAGCTACCTTCCAGAGCTGTTCCATGCCGAGCTGACTGAGCAGACTGGTGCCCTGCGTGTCCCCATCCCCCACCCTCCTGACCTCGGCCCCTGCGTGCCCACACCCCTCCCCCCCTCCCCCACTGCGTGACCCACCTCCTGGGCCTCCCCACCTCCCCACCTGTCCCCTCCCCCCCCCAGGGGCTGGCCCTGTGCTCCCCATCCCTTGGGCTGGCCCAGTCCCCACTGCACTTATTCTCCTCTCCTGCCCACAGTTGGTTTTTTTTTTTTTTTTTTTTTTTCAACGTTTTTTTTTTTTTTTGGGACAGAGACAGAGCATGAATGGGGAGGGGCAGAGAGAAAGGAGACACAGAATCAGGAAACAGGCTCAATCCGAGCCATCAGCCCAGAGCTGACAGCGGGGCTCAACTTAATGACTCACAGATCGCGGATCGTGACCTGGCTGGTCGGACGTAACCGACTTCATGCCCATCTAGCCACCACAGTTGGTTCTGATGGGGGAAACAAAGGCAGAAAGACGTGATAAGGTTGAATTTCCTTATACCCTGAAGCCCACTGACAAGATACTTGAGGCCGGCAGAGGAAAATGTTTCTCCGGGAACTCCCTTTGTCTTCATGTTAGTGCTTTGCTAGAGGGAAGAACCACCTTAGCAAGTGGCTACTTTAGCAGACGAAAGTCCTTCTGGGGACTCCCCTAGTCTTTACCTCCCCCAGCTCCCAAGTGCATAACCTGTCACTCCTCGGGACCCCAGTGCAGCCCTTCCTGCCCTCGGGTCCCGTCCCCGTGCGTGCTTTAATAAAACCGTCCTGTTGCACGGAAGACGTCTCAAGAATTCTTTCTTGGCTGTTGGCCCTGGACCCCCACCCCCACTCCAAACCTCATCAGCCCCTGCCTGGCCACACCTCCCTTCCTCACCCTCTGCTCTCGTACCTACCACAGTGTCACAACGGGAGTGGATGGTCTGTTGGGAGAGCTGTGGACTTCCCTCCTCAGTCCAGCCTGGGACTCCTGTGGGGCACGGGCAGTGCACTGACTCTCCTGTCACAGCGAGTTCGGCTTTTCCCTGCTGCCCCCAAGTCTCTCACCATTCGTCCTGCTCTTTGGTGTAGCTTGTGTCTCCCCTCCCCTCCCCCGGCCTTCCCGAAGGTCAGAAATGACCTTTATTCAGTGTACCTGCTTTCTTCCTAATGCTTTAAATCTTGGTTTTCGTGACCTCTTGTGCGAAGGCCCATTTATTAGCAGGTAAACCTGATCCTGCCTTAAGAACAGGGTTAAACTCTAGGTGTGCCTGACACTCCACGTTCCTTCTTTCCAGGCCTCACGTATGGGGTCTGCTCTGTATTTGTAACCTTGTTCTTTACCTCGTGTAAGTCTGAGGGCTTTCCTTGACTCGTGACCTGATCACTCTAGCCCACGTGTATTTCCATCAACATCCCGTGGTGCCAACTGTTTGCCTTTAACTCGACTGACCATTTTAATCTCAGCTCAGATTATCAATAGTTCTGTTCCTAGAGAATCGGCGTCCCTGTGCACACGGCCTGGAGAAAGGAGAGGACATGGAAGGAAGCCTGCCTGTCCTGGGCCTGGCTCCCTGTGGCCTTTCGCTCCTGCTCAGTTCTGAGTGTGGATGGTGAGTATGATGAACTTGGCCAGTGCCATGTGAAGAAAACTTTACCAAATTAGGTTCATTTTTGAAGAATGATTAAACTAAAACCAAATTATTTTTGTCTGTTAGAATAATAATAACTGTGAAGTGTTTTTAGGACTGCATGCTTCGAGTCTTAAAGTTGGTAAACTTGGTCAATTATTTCTAAGTCTATTTAATAAAAGAAATATTAATTTTAATTTCACTCACCAAAATCCAGGCAGATCTTAAAAAAAATATTTTTAATGTTTATTCATTTTGGGGAGACAGAGTGGGGGAGGGCAGCGAGAGAGGGAGACACAGAATCTGAAGCGGGCTCCAGGCTCTGAGCTGTCAGCACAGAGCCCGACGCAGGGCTCAAACCTACGAAGCGTGGGATCATGACCTGGGCCAAAGTCGGACGCCCAACCGACTGAGCCCCCTAAGCGTCCTTAGGTAGATCTTGAGTGCATAATAAGGTAAAGGAGGATATAATCGTGACTCCCTCTAAACTTCCCCCATCTGTCTGTATATCAGACACTTAAGAATGTATCATGATGGCTTTTACTGAGTGTGGAAAGGTCTAGGGACGACGGGGCCTCTGGTCTCCCTGGACAAGGGGGTTGCTCCCCTGGACGGGGAGCTGGCCGTGCTGTAGGGCCAAGTGTCCGCACAGGTGCCAGGCTGGGTGGGAACACACATCTGGCCTGTGCTTTGGTCAGGGCCAGGCCTTCCGCCCCTGGGGTGCACATGGGGTGGCAGGGACCCACCTGCCTGGCTGCCTTCTGGACGGCCGCAGGTGTGTGCGGGCCTGAGAATGAGCCCAGAGTGAGAAAGAGACAGTCCTAGAGCCGTGTGAGGCTCCAGGGGACCGAGTGGCAGGCAGGAGAGAGGGCGTGGAGAGTCCTTCAGAGTCCAAGTCTGGCATAGCCAGAGGAGGCCTATTGGCCCTTTGTTAACATTGACCCTGTTTGCACATCGATGGAAGAGGAGGCAGAGCTGTGGTCGGTATCTTCTGAGCTCTGCCACCGTGGTCTGTTCCCTGTTAGCGGGGCTCCTCATCTCCAGACACCACCCGGCAGGACGCAGGTGCCACGTGGCCGCCTCGAAGGGATGGACGTGGCACCGGCTGCCACCTTGAGCTCGGAAGAAGTGATAGCCTTGCAGGTGACAGTCGAGTTGCGGTCAGGTCGTGGCCGTCTCGTCCTCACTGGACAGTGGGTTTCCAGGAAACCCGAGACCGTTGAACACCAGCCTGATCGAGTGCTGTTCTGGGTCATAAATGCCGAGAGCCGGCTGCCTGCTCAGTGGCAGCTGTGGGACGGAAGCCTGAGGGGTGAGACCGCCACGTCATTCTCTCTTTTTCTTTGAAAATTAGCCTGCCTTCTGAGAGTGCCCCGTGCCTGTGGGTTGGCAGCTCCTCTGGCTTACTCATACTTAACTTGGTGAACTTCGAATTGGAAGGCGTTTTACGTTACAAGGGTAAGGTGAAAGTTCAGGTCACCTTTGATCTAAATTTCATGTAACTTCTATTAATGTCTTCCTCTGCCACGGGAGGGTGACACCTTCAGCGTAGAAAGTCTGGTCACCAGAACGTGCAGATGAGGCGTGTTCGCCATGCGTCAGGCCACGGGCAGCTTCTGGGTCCCAAGGCCATGCTGTTAGCTCACTCCGACCTCTGGGTGGGTCTCCCTTCCCTTGGTCCTCGGTGCCCCTGTCTTCTGTGCGCAGGGCTCCGAGGGACACTTCTCCTCAGGGCTGCCGCGCCTGTCCCGAGCTTATACCAAGGGCTTTTGAGTCCACACTGTCCATATTTCCTGCTGACGACTTGACACCTGTGACTGGACAGCCCCCCAGCTTGTCCGACTCCACGGTCTGGACTGACCTGGGGCGGCTCCCGTCTGTTCTCAGATTCTGCGACCTCCACGCCGGGAGTTGCCCTGCCAGTAACGTGGGCGTGATTCCTGACTCCGTCCCTCCTCCCTCCCCGAGCTTGCCCCCCTCAGGAGCCTCCTGCAGGCACAGCCCATGTCACCTGTAAGAGCAGTCTCCCTACTTTCTCCTTTAAGGCCCCTGTGTTTTGGGGACAGAGTCCGAGTTCTTAGCCTGGCCCAGCCCAGCCTCTCTCCTCGTTGGAGGTCACTGCCCGTTTCGACCGTCACTTACTTGCAGACTTTGCTTGAACCCTCCAAACCTCTGCTGACCTGAGTGCCTTCTTCTCCTCCCCCTGCTTGCCCTTGAAGGTTCACCGGAGCTCCTCTTAGATCTGGGTGTGTGTGTGTGTGCCCCTGGAATTGTGTTACCGGGGCTCGCCCTAGCTGCCCTATGCCTTCTCCGCCGGATTGAGCTGCCCCAGGGCAAGGGCTCTCGGGAGCGCACAGGCCCACGTGCGGTGGGCGTGCAGGCACGTGGGGTTCGTTCCCCCGTAAACATTGCTGGTTTGTCTCTCTTTGCTGGAAATTAAGATTTCAGGAGCCTCAGCATTCAGGTTGCCGGATCGTGCGCAATGATGAGCAAGGCTGGCGAGCAAGGTGAGCCCTGAAACGTGCCGTCCTCAGACCCTGCCGAGTGCATCGGTACGCGTCCTTTCCTCCACGTGGTGGAGTGTGACCTCGCGTGTGACGTCTGGCACGCGATAACTGCCCACGTGACAGGAGCAGCCTTACCCTGTGTGGTTAGGGTCACGGGTGTGTGCTCACTGTTGACCGTGTGACAACTGTCCCGTGCAGGCCATCTGCTTACTGACGTCCGTGTTTGGCGGTCAGATCGCCGTGCTGGAAATCCGTCTCGCGGCTCTGGTGCGGTCTCGGCAAGGTCTCGGCGCCGGAAGGAGCCTGTCGGTGCTGCCTCGGTAGGGTCTTCTCCGGTAGGATTTCCGCATGCGGCTTTCCCCGCTCAGGAGCTTACGTTCCTGTCGATTCTAAGAATTAAAAGTAAAGTTTGGTGAACTCCCAACTCTCCTGACCTGTTCGAAAGAAATTCTTGCTCATGGCATTGCTTCTGTCTTGTTTAAAAGTAAATGATTCATACTTAATTTTCAATGTAAAAGTATTTTATTTCAGGATAGGATGTAAATTATAAAAGAGCCATTTTGTTAAAAATAGTAAAGATTATTTCTTAGAAGAAGAGGAATAAGCTTGATCGTTTCCAAAGATCGCACATCCGTATCTACGTGAGTTAATCCCTTGTGATGTCCTGACAACGTGCATTTTGTGAGTTTGTTCTCCTGGCGATTTGTCTGCCTAGTGGCTGTGTCCTGTCCACGTCTCCGCTGCACTTCAGAATTGCTGAGGAGCACAGGACCCCACCGGCGCCTCAGCGACGGTCCGGTTAGTACCCCCTGCTCTGGGACGTGGCGCAATGACCTGCTCTGTGGATTCATGTTTGTCCGCGTGAAAATTCGGCATTTCCTCTGTCCGTCGCTGCTTCGTTTCTCTGCCTCTCATGTATTTTTTACATGCTCTTTGTGGTAGGGAATGTGCTAGATATTTTGTTTTCCTGAATCGGGTATCATTCATAGGAATTCAAAAACAAGTGCTCTAGGGGCGCCTGGGGGGCTCAGTCGGTTAAGCGTCTGACTTGGGCTCGGGTCATGATCTCACGGTTCGTGAGTTCGAGCCCCACGTTGGGCTCTGTGCTGACAGCTCGGAGCCTGGAGCCTGCTTCGGATTCTGTCTCCCTCTCTCTCTGCCCCTCCCCTGTTCATGCTCTGTCTCTCTCTCTCTCTCTCTCTCTCTGTCAAAAATAAATAAAAACACTAAAAAAAAAAAAAAAAAAAAAATTAAAAAAACCAAATGCTCTACCGGCCAGAACATACATGTGGATGCCCAATTATTGATCACGGGGCTGATTTTTTTCTTGTCTCTCTTTGCTGAAGATTGTAAAGCCATTGCCAAGCATCACATCGTTTTACCCCTGCAGACTTGAGTATGCGTTTCTAAAACACAGACGTGTGCTTAGTGGCCGTGATGCCATTATCAAAACCAACAGCGATTCTTTCGTGTCCTTTATTAATTAGCCAGCCCATATAAGTTATTCCTGATTGTCTCAAAAATCTTTCTCATTGTATTATTATAAGCAGAAAACAAATCCGCCTGTTGCTTTTTACAAAGAAATAATTTTAAAGTTCTGTTTTAAGATGCCAGACTTCATTACATTTTCCATTTATTTTCATTGTTGAGAATCACTGACAGCGATTCTTTTTTCCCTTTCGTTGACCAACCCGGAGTCCTAATCAGTATGGTTAAGCCTCTTGTTGACCTAATTACAAACCAACAGAGGTGCTCAGTCTGCTTGTATCTCCATCTTTGATGAGGGACCCCAGCTCCTGGAGGGGGCACGACTGCAGGTGCAGGTGCCCTCCTGCTAGGTCGTCCAGGCTCTGGCTCTGGAAGGGCGGGGGGCTGTGCCGTCATCACACCCGTGTCCCGCCGCCCCCTCCCTTGTCCACGAGACCTTCTGAAGGCCTCCACTCTTCTTAACTGTGTTGCTCTGTGGCTCCCCCAGCCCCACCCAGCCGAGTCCCTCTGGGGAAGGCGTGCACGGACTGTCACCCTCATACCTCCCCTCCCGCGTGGTCACTGCAGGCCGGGTCCCCTCCTTCGGGATCTGGGATCCCTTCTGCTGGGTTTCTGAGCCGCGGCCTCCCGTTCTTCTGGCTCTGTCCCTCCCTCAGTCCGAATACCCAGCCCTGTGTCGCTTCGGGAGTAGAAGTCCGTCCATCCTTCAATGGCGGCCTCCTCAGAGAAGTTTAAATTCCTATGTAGTTATGTTAGTGAAAACCGAAAGTCTTTACTAGGCATATGTTACGGCTTTATACTTAATTGGTGTGGTAAAAGTTGTTTTTCATATTCTTTTTAAAAACATGTTCTGTTCATTTATTTCTTCTTTCTTATATTTTTTATTGTGGTAGAATATCTATAATGTAAAATTTAACATTTTAACCATTAACAAATTTTTAAAAATATTTTATTTATTTTTTTGAGAGAGACAGAGCGTGAGCAGGAGAGGGACAGAGAGAGAGGGAGACAGAATCTGAAGCAGGCTCCAGGCTCTGTGCTGTCAGCACAGAATCCGATGCGGGGCTCAAACCCAAGAGCCGTGAGATCTTGACCTGAGCTGAAGTCTCACAATTAACCGACTGAGCCACCCAGGCGCCCCACATTTTAACCATTTTTAAGTGTACAGCTCATTGGCATTAAGTGCCTTCATATTGTTGCATGATGTAAAGTCTTTTAAAATAATTTTATTAATACCAAAAATTATGTATATGTTTTTATTAAAATTACTTGGAAAAAAGTTGTGACAGATATTAATTAAATTGCTAATTAGTTGGAATATTAGGTTGCTTAGATAATATTCCGAAATTCTAAATACATTTTTACTCAAAGAAAATTACTTAGACTGGATGAACTCTATGTTAAGTGGCCACTGATGCTCTGTTTTTTACCTCTAAGTGTGGCCAGTTATTTTCATCACCACACATGTGACTTGGCATGTCAAAGGCATAATCTTATGGCTCCTCTGTATGGAACTCTGTTTTGAAATGAGACACATAATTTCCTCTTTCTTTTGTTACCTCACTCATTTCTTTAGATTTTATTCTTGTTTTATTTAGAGTACCCTTAAAAATGTTTTTTTTTTTTTCATTTTTTGCTAGTATGGATCATCTTATTCGGATGAGTCTATATGATATACCATGCTTCACAGCTAAGTGATGCGTAGAACAAAACCTTTGATAAGAACAGTCGTGTAGACAGTAAGGCTTATTACGGAGATTATAATTTCTCTGTAACCAGGGACGGGTGCAATTTCAGACAGTTGATTTTTATGACAGTTTTATGTCTTGTTTAAAAAGTATTCATATGGAGAGTTAATGCAGATGACCGATTTATAGTTGTGCTAGAATCTAAAAATTTGCATCCCTCTAGTTGCAAGAAGCATAGTAGAAATAAACACATGCGATGAACTGATATATTTTAATACTTAAAGCATTTATTAAAGTAATATGCCCTTCCATAAATATGAACTTTATTCTAGTACTTTCAAGACCTTTTCATAACCAAGTACCCAAATGCATCTGTTATTTTATTATCTGATTTGGCAAATATTTTCCGTTTGCTTTGTTTTTCTCGGAGGTTTTTTCTCCTTCACTTGACACTGAGGTGGAGAGAGGTTTTCTGGGTCCCCCCTGGGAGCAGTTGTATTTCCAGGCCCTTCCCCGAGGTGCCTCGTTCCCCGGGTGGGGCTCTGCCTTCGGCGAGCCGGATGCTTTTTGGGTTCCTGGTCACGTGGGTGTCATTTTAGTGATTTGCTCACTCGCTTCACTTGGTTTTTGATGGGAATATGGTCCAGGTTATCAGGCTTGAAATAGTGCCAGATACAGAACTGAGTTTCTTTGTTAAAAAACAAAACAAAACAAAACTATTTTCAAAATAATGCAATACTGTGCAAGTATCCGTTTTTTCTAAAGCTACTTTATACTGTTGTACAGAGTATTCATATTGGATACCAAGTATTAAATGTTTGTAAAAATCAATAATTCTGGCAGAATTTTATTTTGCCTGAAAGGATTTGAGATTTGTAAATATTTGTGTTAAGTTCATGCAGCGTCAGAGTTTTTATCAGTTGGCAGTGCTGCGGAAAACTTAGTAGGATAAGAAATTTCGTTGCCACTGAGGTGCACAGGTGTAGTCATGGTTAAGTGCTTTATCTTTCTTACTGCTCTATCATGTGGTAAACGAGTACCTGAGAGAAATGTGAGCTGATTTAAGATCATTGCTGTTCTTGTTTGTAGAAAAGATCTATTTGTCACAGCTTTATAGAGCGAGTTACTCCACGATGGCTGGTTTCTAGTGTGCCACGGACGGGATTTCACATAGACGGGTTCTGTGTGTGGCCTGTTTTATTACGACGTGAGCTGATGTGTTAGTCTACATGGTGTTTGGAACATGTGCTGTTGAGCACATACTGCAATTCAGTATCATTTGAGGAATGAGAAAACGTTTTTTGTTGTTTTCTTATACTTGTAATACCCTTGATTTAACCTTCTTTGCTGGTATCGGTTGGTTTGGCATTGCGTGTGAAACCTCTTCGGTTTATAGTGAATGGCCTCCTTCCATGCATGTGAACTTTTGTGTTCTCAAGGAACTTTTTTCTTGGCATGTTACACATTTGCTACTTTTTTTCTATAATTTATTTATTTTTTATAATTTAAGTCCAAATTAGCACATGGTGCAACAGTGATTTCAGGAGTAGATTCCTTAAGCCCCTTCCCCATTTAGCCCACCCCTCCATCACACAACCCCTCCAGCACCCCTCTGTTCTCCATATTTTAGAGTCTCTTATGTTTTGCCTCCCTCTCTGTGTTTGTCTTATTTTTGCTTCCCTTCCCTTATGTTCGTTCATCTGTTTTGTATCTTAAAGTCCTCATATGAGTGAAGTCATATGATTTTTGTCTTTCTGTGATTACTTTCGCTTAGCATAATACCCTCTAGTTCCATCCACGTTGCTGCAAATGGCAAGATTTCATCCTCTCTCATCGCCAAGTAATACTCCATCGTATATATAAACTACATCTTCCTTATCCATTCATCCATTGATGGACATTTGGGCTCTTTCCATACTTTGGCTATTGTTGATACTGCTGCTGTAAACACGGGGGTGCATGTGTTCCTTCGAAACAGCACACCTGTATCCCTTGGATAAATACCTAGTAGTGCAGTTGCTGGGTTGTAGGGTAGTTCTATTTTTAGTTTTTTGAGGAACCTCCACACTGTTTTCCAGAGCGGCTGCACCAGCTGGCATTCCCACCAACAATGCAAAAGAGATCCTCTTTCTCTGCATCCTCGCCAGCATCTGTTGTTGCCTGAGTTGCTAATGTTAGCCATTCTGACAGGTGGTATCTCATGGTGGTTTTGATTTGTGTTTCCCTGATGATGAGTGCCGTTGAGCATTTTTTCATGTGTCGTTTGGCCATCCGGATGTCTTCTTTGGAGAAGTGTCTCTTCATGTCTTTTGCCCATTTCTTCACTGGATTATTTGTTTTCTGGGTGTGGCGTTTGATAAGTTGTTTATAGATTTTAGATACTAACCCTTTACCTGATTAGTCGCTTGCAAATATCTTCTCCCATTCTGTCGGTTGCCTTTTAGTTTTGCTGATTGTTTCCTTAATTTTGATGAGGTCCAATAGTTCATTTCTGCTTTTGTTTCCCTTGCCTCTGGAGACGTGTTGAGTAAGAAGTTCCTGCAGCCAAGATCAGAGAGGTTTCTGTCTGCTTTCTCCTCAAGGATTTTGATGGCTTCCTGTCTTACATTTAGGTCTTTCATCCATTTTGAGTTTATTTTTGTGTCTGGTGTAAGAAAATGGTCCAGGTTCATTCTTCTGCATGTCGCTGTCCGGTTTTCCCAACCCCGTTTGTTGAAGAGACTGTCTTTATTCCATTGGATATTCTTTCCTGCTTTGTCAAAGATTAGTTGGCCTTACATTTGTGGGTCCATTTCTGGTCTATTCTGTGCCATTGATCCGAGTGTCTGTTTTTGTGCCAGTAACATCTACTTTTTAAACACGTTTCACACGGCGGTACGGAGCACCGTTCAGGACCAGCCTCTGGTTTTCCACGGCAAAGTGAGGTCATCTGGGTATGCGACCGCCCCGCAGTGAGTAACTAGGCCTGGAGAGGCGGGAAAGATGTGTGTGGAGGGCCACCCCCGGGTGCAGGGCAGGGACACGTGGACAGCAGTCAACACGAGGCCGCAGCAACCCCTCCTGTGTGCTCGCCATGTGCTCGCCTCTCGGGCGCCCTTTGGTCCTGATTGACGGCAGCGATGGTGCCTGGTGACCTTGTCAGGTGCCAGGACAGGGGCGGACCTGCCTGGGAGAGGGGGACGCAGGGACGGAGACCTGGCCGTCGGGGCTTTCTGGGAGCATTGGATGCAGTGTATTCAGACCTGGTTTGGTGGGTTGGGGAGGGAGGGAGTCAATGATGACGAAATTGGGAACAACGTGGTATCTGGGGAGTTTCAAGTACAGTAGAGCCTTGAAATCCCCTTGTCCTTCTGGAATGCCGCATTTCTTGGAAGCGGACTTTGCTTTTCTGTGTGAAATGCACGTCGGCCTCTGACGTCTTCTCACCCCAAATCTTGATCTGTTCCGTGCTCTTCACATACTGAGCGGAACGGCCCTGGGGGCCCCACTTGGAACGCAGGTCAGGGCTTTGGGAGGCTCTCTGGGGTCACCCGTCCCCTGACCCGCTTATGCCATGCTCTCCTTCCCCCTCGCCCCTGGCCTCCGCGTCCATCCCTCTGCCTCAGGGCTCTCCATCGGCCCTTTCTTCCCCCTCATGCGCTTCCCTGAGGCTCACATGGGTGCTGCTTATGGGGCAGCCAGTCTTGCTTCTATCCAGGCTGCCTGGACACCATGCCCACCTCTGCCGTGATTCCCTCTCAGCCCTTGCCTGCTTTATTCTCTCTGGCACGACTGGCTAGCATGACTTCGTGCTTTACTTATTATTTATTCTTTAAACCTCTGGTCCTGGTACAGCACTTGGCACTCAGACCCTCTCACAAAGTACTGATGGATGACGGATGGACGGATGGATGGATGGATGGATGGATGATAGATGGGTGGGTGGATGATGGATGGATGGGTAGGTGGATGGATGGATGGATTCTGGATCCTTGCCTCAACAAAATTGCACACTAGTTCATACACCATGCCTGTGGGCACCAGCTGTAGTGTGATCTGCTGTGTTCAGTGTGGACTTCTGGGGTCCCTTATATTAAGGCACGTCTTGAGTTTTCTTTCCTGTGTGGGTGCCCAGGGGGAGGAAGAGGCCAGACCACGAACAGCCCTGAGCACCAACCTGGGAGTTTGAACTTTACGGGAAAAGTACAGCATGATGTTACAGTATTTTAAATGTCAAGGATCACCTTGTCAGGATATGCGGCACGGTGACCTGTCAGAGGCAGTGGGAGGGGCAGATGGAAGGAGGCGAGCCCAGCCCTGACAGTGTCCGCCTCCCTCCTGGCATGCTTCCTGTGCTCCGGCAGCATTCTGGCTCCTTCTCACATGTTCCCTGCTGGTCCCCGCTCAGTGGTCTCTTACCCTTTGTTCTCTTTTCTCCCATCCTCAAGTGACTGGCATCCTCCCTCCTCCGGGCCCCAGGGGACTTTCAGATCCTGCGGCAGTGCAGAGCCTCTGGCGGTGGCCCGAGGCCAGGCCACCCCCTCCTGCCCCTTGGTCTGATGGCTCCGGGCACGGCCCGAAGCCGAGCCTGCTACTGACACTGCAAGGCTTGGATGCGGGTGCGGGATGGGGGTGTGGCTGTCCCTCGTCTGTCCCCGGAGCTCAGCACCATGTGCCCCAGCATCTCTGGGAGCTTGTTTCTTCATCTTAAAAACCATCTTGAAAACAGGTGCCTGTTCAGCCACCACCAGCATTTAATCTAATTCTGTTCAAGAGAGAATTCAGTGTGACTTGCCAGGAATTTCTCTTCTGTCTCTGAGTAGGTTTGCAAAATAATGTTCACAAGTGAAGTTTCGTTTCTGTCATGATTATATAAATTTATTCTCCAAAAGGAAACAATATCATAAGAATCATGTTTTGTATTCACTTTAAGGGGATTCTGACTTTGGGAGCAGTTTTTTGATTTATACATCTTTCATACACACCTCACAAAATGGGACCAATAGATAATTTGCGGTGTGATCTTTACACAGAAATGGTTATCTTAGTGTTTTTCTAGTAGTCAAAATTTATAAGTGAGTAGCTCAGTATTATCCAGAATTTTTATGTCCAGATATATTTTCAGCAGTGCAATAGCCAGTGTAGATATATAATTGAAACAATAGCTGTTACAATTAGAGTAAGTGAGTGTTCGCTTTATCACTAGTTGGGACACTGAAAGCGTTTATATGTTTATATGTTCTGTATGTTTTGCTGCAAAATACAGGTCTCTTAAGAAGCTTGGAGCTGTCATCTTTGAGATGACGTAAGAGTTTTCTTTCCACAGCGTCACTATGTTTTCACCCAAGACCAACACCAGGAATAACGGTGACAGCCCTTCACGCCGCAGGAGCAGTCACAGGTGGTGCGTCACGAACTTGCCTTTCAAAGTAGACGTAGCATACTTTGGGGAGGCCCTTTGAATACTGTCAGTGAATTTGTTTCAAACAGGTGTCCAACCTTGGGAGTACCAGATGTGTACATGGCCCACGTATACACCGCGTGTGCACGTTATTCGTATATGTATGTCCTTTTACTCAGATTCAGTTCTTCCGTATTCATTTTTCAGACAGGCTGCTATTTTTACCGTCTTGACAACTTGGCAATATTTTTTTCTTTCTTTAAATCCAAGTTAGTTAACATATAGTGTGATAATGGTTTCAGGGGTAGAACCCAGTGATTCACCACCTACACACGACACCCAGTGCGCATCCCGGCAAGTGCCCTCCTCAATGCCCGTCACCCACCTACACCATCTCCCCCCACCTCCCCTCCAGCGACCCTCAGTCTTCAGAGTCTCTCTTGCGGTTTGCCTCCCTCTCTGTATTTATCTTATTTTTCCTTCCCTTCCCCTATGTTCATCTGTTTTGTTTCTTAAATTCCACACGTGAGTGAAATCATATGGTATTTGTCTCTCTCTGACGGACTCATTTTGCTGAACACGATACCCTCTAGTTCCATCCATGTTTGCTGCAAATGGCAACACTTCCTTCTTTTTGATCGCTGAGTCATAACTCATCGTGTGTATACAATCCGCTTCTTTATCCATTTGTCAGTCAGTGGACATTTGGGCTCTTTCCATACTTAGGCTATTGTTGATAGCGCTGCTATAAACGTTGGGGTGCCTGCGCCCCTCAAAACAGCATCCCTGTATTCCTTGGATAAATACCTAGTAGTGCAATTGCTGGGGCATAGGGTAGTTCTATTTTTAGTTTTTTGAGGAACCTCCATACTGTTTTCCAGAGTGGCTGCACCAGTTTGCATTCCCACCAGCAGTGCAAGAGATCCTCTTTCTCCGCATCCTCACCAACCTCTGTTGTTGCCCGAGTTGCTAATGTTAGCCTAGTTAGACAGGTGTCAGGTGGTATCTCCTGGTGGTTACGATTTGTATTTCCCTGATGATGAGTGATGTGGAGCATCTTTTCATGTGTCGCTTGGCCATCTGGATGTCTTCTTTGGAGAAGTGTCTATTCATGTCTCTTGCCCATTTCTTCACTGGATTATTTGTTTTTTGGGTGTTGGGTTTGATTTGTTTATCGTCTTGTGGATACTAACCCTTTACCAAATATGTCATTGGCAAATATCTCCTCCCATTCCATCAGTTGCCTTTTAGTTTTGTTGAGAGATTCCTTCTCTGTGCAGAAGCTTTTTATCTCGATGAGGTCCCAATAGTTCATTTTTGCTTTTGTTTCCCTTGCCTCTAGAGGCAATAGTTAATTTTTGTTAAAATACTGTTTTAAGAAAGCGTTGTAGCCAGCGATGGATCATTCTTGATAAGTCTCTTGCTTAATAATTGGACAGAAAAATTTGATCAGTTTATGGGCTCCAGGCGAATATTGAATGGCCGGCGATGAGCTCACTGACATGGATGCGTTTCTTGTGGGATGCACTGCTGCCCACGATGTGCGGACCATGGCCAACCTGCCGATCCCCAGGCCCCACGTGCCTAGATGGGAAGGTGTTTGGGGGACCTCTAGGACCTAGATTCCCTCATTTGGATGGAGACTATGGCTGGTGGTATCAAATTATCACCCACTCCAGTCTACAGCCCGTCTACACCCACACGGGGATGGAGACTATGGACGACGGGAGTGAAGTGTCACTGACTCCAGTCTGCAGCCCGTCTGTACTTGAGCAGTCACTTGCCAGATGCTGGTTTTGCCCACGTGTTGTGACGTTTTTCTTAAGCCCCATTGCTCTTCCTGCCCGTCTGTGCTGCTCCTGTATCAGTGGGTCAGCGACGGTGGGGATGTGCCCGCAGCAGGTGCCCTCGGACCCTGGGACAGCTGTCTGTGGTTGAGTATAGAATGCAGCAAGAAAGAGCCCTGCTCAACTCTGATCTTTCTGGTGGCTTTTTCCTATGAGAGCCCAGCTCTCCAGACAGAGTCAGCTGTCTCTGCTGCAATTCCAGCCCCAGGGGCATTGCATTGAGGGGTTTCCGGAGACCCCAAACAACGTCCTGGGCACAGGCAAGTGTTTCTTAGGGAGAGGCTCCTCTGAACACCCACCAAATTTCCCTTTGAAGGGACGGTGCTGCCTGGCTGGGGGCGGGCCTGCAAGCCCGTCTTCCCAGCTTTTACTGCATTAGAGACATGAGTAAATGTGTCTAACTTGTCTTCCGTAACTTTCAGCTTTTACAACAACCTGTCTTCAGATCATAGCTACTTTCCTTTCTGCCCTGTGCAGTGTGCCTGGAACTTTCCACGTCCCCCTAACCTGTGGCAGTGCTGCCTGACAGGTGGTTTTGTGCTCTGTTTACACTGGATTCTGGGACTGCGGTGGGAAGGACGTGGAGGCCACGTGGGTGCCAGTGAGGGGCCTGGGCTCCTGTGCCCTGGCCAGTCCCCAGGCCTCTGGGCCAGCTGCTGCTCAGAGGCTACCAGGCCAGCTGCTGAAAATGAACAACGGGGGGACTTTGCCTAAAGATCTGAATGCCTTCCGTGGGCCGTGCTGCCTTACCCCCAGGCCCTGCGGGTTCCACGCCACCCAGCCTGCCCCTGCACAGGGCCCTGGCCGTCGGTCCTTTTCCCCAAGTCCATGGTCTCTCACAGACTTCAGGTGTGATTATTTTCTGGGCAGGTAGAAGCCATTTGCAGATTATCTGAGTAATTAGTGGATAGTCACCCACACGGAATCTGAAACTGGGAAGTGAAGTGTGTTTTCTCTTGCTAAGATGCTCTCATCTGGTCATCCCAGGGTCCCCTTCAGTTATGTGAAACAGGAGAAATCCTTGACATTTTGTACTTAAAATATGTGCATTATTTCATGGCTTTGAATGTGTTTCTGTACGTTCAAAGTCGGTAGAATAAAATCGCACATCTGGATAGGTGAACCCTTTCTAGTTTATTTTTTTATTTCTAACCTCACTTGATTTTCATTTTCTCTCATGTTCCTTCAAGTAAGGAGTACCCTCTGGAGAGTTCTCCACCAACCAGACTCCACAAGCAGCGTGTGCTTGCCCACGGGCCAGCCGCCGCGCTCTGTGTCCAGTTCTCGGGTACGCCGAGTCCAGGGGCCGCCATCACCGCGTGTGCGAGGGTCTCTTCCCTGCCGCTGCTTCACTGGAAACGGAGTTCAAAGTCTTGGTTACTTGAAGTTGTCTGGCGTGCCGGGGTCTGGACGAAAGCCAGCGGCACCTGGAATGGGGGCGGTGGCCCTTGTGCCGGCCGCTGATGGGGTGCAGGAGCCTTGGGTAGGGGCTCCGCCCGCTCCCTCTGCCGGCTCCTCTTGGGGGGCAGGGGCGGATGACCTCGGGGTCCCACGTCAGCTCCCTCCCTCCCTCCCCGATGGAGCCTCTCCGAGCCCGCGGGTGCTTGTCTCTCAGGCACAGGCACAGGCAGCGCCCCTTCCAGACTGATCCTCCAGACCCTCAGCGTTTTTCCTGAGCAGGTTTGCAGAAGTGGGGAGCCGCTCTCGCCCGGGCGGCTCTCCTCTTCGAGGCCTTTTTTCAGAAGCACATGTCGTTTCCGGATTTACGTGGAGTCAGTCAGGGTGGGGAGAAGGCTTGTGTCTGGGGGTCAGGACCTGCCCCACCCGTCTCCACGAGTGTCCCACCAGCCGTGCCCCTCAGGACTTTAAGCGCATTCATTCCCACAGCTTATCGTTACTTACAGCTGTTTATATATAATTCCAGCCAAAGCATATTTTGAATAATTTTGGGAAATTAGGTAACGTACTCTCAGTGGTCAAGTATCTTTGTGATATTCAACGGGCTTACTTGTGATTATATGATTCTATGAGATGATTAGAAATAAGGTAGGAGCCTCGGGTTTGAAAATTACAGGTGGGGGGGGGGTTCTGTAGTTTAGTTCTGTACTGTTTTAGGGATCTGTTTAAATAAGACTGCTTAGCTGAATAACGTGTGTCTGAAAAAATCTGTTGATGGGAGGCAGGGCGCCCTGGGGATTAGGGTACTTTGGGTTCAGGTCCCAGCGCTGACTCTTGACTAGCCCTGCAGCCTGGGTGTGCCGCCTCAGCTCCTGCCTCTCGGGCTCTCTGAAGGAAGCCGGGGGGACGTCAACTGGTGGGCCCTCAAAGGGTGCTGGTGGCTGTTGAGCAGATGCTGTTTGCTGTAGATTCTCTCACTACCTGGGAAACCCAGCCTCAAGCCAGCTACCAGTTCTGTTCCCCTGTTTTGAGTGCGCCTCCGGTGAGCTGTGACTTTATAGGCATTTCTCTTACTCTTTTTATGCAGGAGATGGGCGGTGGCTGGCCTGTGGCTTAGCCAACCACTTGTCGCTGGTCTTCCATGCTGATCTTACTGGGACACCTGCTGTCTTCTCAGGTACAGTGTGTGGGCTCCTTTGGTCCTGGGTGTCGGTTGCCACGTGCCCTTCCAATCCCTTCAAGATCAGAACAGAATAGAGCTGAGGCCCTCGTGGAGGTTTAGCAAACTGGATCGGCCCCACCACGCTGGGGGGAGGGTGTGGCCGGGGCGGCCGGGGCAGCGGACACTTCTGGCACAGGTGCCCCGAGGTCAGGGAACAAAGCTTTTGCAAAGGTCCAGGGGAGGGGGTACAGTCAGATCTCGCAGACGTGTGACCAAAGCACATTCGGAAGGTCAGGAGGGCTTGTATACAGACATTTTTATAAACATAACGAGGCGAGTAGACTCGAAGTGAGGGCAGTGGTGTGGGAAGTCTCAGTGTTTTAGTTTCCTGATAGGTTCCTGGTCCTGGAGCTCTGAGTGACCCCCCCCACGCTTGCTTGGGCTCCTGGAGCCGCTCGCTTTAAGACTCGCACTCAGTACATGTTTTAGCAACAACAAAAACCCAAAAAGCGAATGCTGTCAGTCCAGGTGTTTCTGTGATATAGGTGGATGGGGTGCAGGC